CCGGGAAGTGATACTAGCTCTCATACCCTTAACTGCACACGGGACCAAGTTGGTCACTTTCAAATCCTTCCTACACCTAATAACTCTGTTATCTCCACGACTAACCCTTCCCACGTCCTTTTATCACCTCGCACCGCTAGGGCAAACGATTCGAGTACACAGAACGTTATTCCTGGTCTCCTGAAACCACGCTCTAAACTACATATGGGAACTTTTGTGCCAAATAGGACAACAGGCTTCCTTAGCTAGGACTCTAGAATCTTACACCATCGATGTGTGCTGCGTCTCCGAAACGCGCATACAAGATCCGAGTAGTGTCATTCATTTGACCGCACCTAATCAAAATAAAGTTTCATCTCGATACACGCTTCGTGTATCTGGAAGCCCTGATGCTGCTTCCCGAGGCCTCGCTGGAGTAGGTATAGCATTAAGTCCTAGAGCAGAACTAGCTCTTTTAGACTGGATCCCAGTAGACAGTCGTCTATGCGCTGTCCGACTAAATGGATCAGTAAGGACCCGGAAAGATTGGGAAACTCGTCGTTGCCTCTTCGTCGTCTCTGCCTACTCTCCCACTGACTGCAGCTCAGACGATATAAAAGATGAGTTCTACAGGAAACTTTCCGAACTTCTCCGAGAAGCTAGGCGTTCTGATGTAGTAATAGTAGCAGGTGACTTTAATGCTCAAGTAGGTAAACTAAGTGAAAAGGAAAGACACCTGGGTGGATCTTATGGTGTCATGGCGAAAAGAACAGATAATGGCGACCGTCTGTTGCAGCTATGCTTAGATAACCGCCTATTTCTTGCAAATACTAACTTTAAGCATAAGGAAAAACATCGTTTGACATGGCGACCCCCGAATTCGTCCCAACGTTGGACCCAATTAGATCACATCGCTATCAGCCACCGATGGAGGGGCTCGATAGAAGACTGTCGCTCATTCTGGGGCACATGTTTAGATTAAGATCATGCTCTAGTGCGAGCACGTATCTGTCTGCGTCTTACTGGTCGTAGGAAAGACACTGCAGGGAAGCCTCTAAGGGTTCTACTTAATGATAGGCAAGCTAAGAATATATTTCAGGAACAACTAGAAAAACAGTTAGGCAGCCATGAAAGTTATGTCCACCCCGAGGCAGCGTGGAATGACATCCGAAAAGCTGTAGAAACAGCAGTCATATCCGCTAGTAAGGTAAACCATAACGTTAGGGGGAAACAATGGATCTCGGCAGCATCTACCGCACTGATAGATGCTCGTAAACTCATCCCACCTGGCTCTGAACATAACGAAGAGCGGAGTCAACTTAAGCGCAGGCTTATAAGAAGCCTACGTAATGATCGTGAATAGTGGTGGGTAGCGAAAGCAAGAGAGATGGAAAAGGCAGCGGCAATAGGTAACAGTAGGCAGCTATTCAGACTCGTTAAAGAAACCGGTATTAGGAACCCGAATATCAGTGAAACCATTTCAGATAAAGATGGGTATATTATTCACTCTCAATCCAGGAGATTGGATTGATGGGCAGAACACTTTAGGGATCAGTTCAACTGGCCTTCAGTCACACTTCAATTACCCACGATCCCCAGTCGTCCTGAATGGCAAATTGATGTAAGTCCTCCAACCCTCTGTGAGGTCGAAAAAGCTATAGGAAATCTGAAGCGAGGGAGAGCAGCAGGCCCTGACAGGTTGACCCCTGAGATTTTTAAGGATGGTGGTCCAGTACTAGCAGTGAGATTGACTGAGGTCTTAGGTAGAATCTGGGAACTGGACGTAATTCCATCTGACTGGTCCCAATCACTGATTGTGCCAGTCTATAAGAAAGGACAAAAGTCCTCCTGTGACAATCACAGAGGAATCAGTTTGACTAATATAGTGTCTAATCTCATTCGATTTGTGTGAGGTCTGTGATACTGCCCAGGTGCCCAGACTGAAGCAGGTGGTTTTCTTAGGGGGCCACATCCCGAGCCTTTGACCTGAATGTCTGATCCACAAGGCAGTGGAGCATCGTGAGGAGATGCAGTCCCATGGTAGTCGTTGACCAATGACAGGTTCGTCCGCCATTCGTTCCATCAGGATACTGGAGCCCATGTGCACCATTGGTTTGGAATCAGGGTTTTCCAACTCCCCTAGGTGGACCCTCCGTGTCCACCAACCCGGTTAAAGCGCCGGACATTCGCTTTTCGTCCTCTCACTTTCGTAAACAACACCCCTGGCACGAGAAGGCAGTGAGTAGGACTTCCCTGGCAGAGGCTATATATTCGCTGGCCATATGAGAGTATTTCGAGAGGGAGAGGTGACTCTCCCCACAAATCGAATGAGATTTGTGAGGCGCATATTTATCTGGTGCTTCATTGTACCAATATTTATGTGTTTAAATAATAAATAATAATAGTAATAATAATATAGTGTCTAAAATATTAGCTTCAATAATACTAGGTCGCCTAACCAAAGCTCGTGAAGAGCAGACTAGAGAAAACCAGGCTGGTTTTCGACCTGGACGTGGTTGCATAGACCAGATATTCACCCTACGTCAGGTCCTAGAACATAGACACAAATTCAGACGTCCCACAATAGTAGTATTTCTTGACCTTAAGGCGGCACTTGACTCCGTTGATCGTGAGGTTCTATGGCAGTGTTTGTCACTGAAAGGAGCACCAAAGAAGTACATTAACCTCATAAAGGCTCTCTACTCGAACACAACTGGTCGAGTTAGAGCCTATGGCGAACTGTCATCAGAACTGATTACCACAAGTGGCGTTCGTCAGGGCTGTCCACTCTCCCTTTAACTTTGTCAATGACATACTTTTGGAGATAGCACTTTCATCAGCTAAACCTCCAGGAGTTGAACTTTTACCGGGAGATTCACTTGTTGACTTAGAATACGCCGACGACATAGTTTTACTCGGTGAAGACGCTGACAACATGCAGAGTCTTCTGACCACTATAAGCAACTATGCAGGCATGTTCGGGATGCGATTCTCTCCCTCGAAGTGCAAAATGTTACTTCAGGATTGGGTTGCATCGACACCTGAACTAATGATAGGGAGTGAAGTAGTTGAGCGTGTGGACCACTTCACTTATCTTGAGAGTCTCATCAGCCCTTGTGGCCTGGTATGTGACGAAATCTCAGCATGGATACAGAAGGCTCGTCTAGCTTTCGCCAACTTGCGCCATTTATGGCGTAGGCGAGATATCCGTCTAGCAACCAAAGGACGGGTTTACTGTGCAGCAGTTCGCTCCGTCCTACTTTATGGCAGTGAAACATGGCCAATAAGAGTAGAGGATATTCGTAGGCTACTAGTGTTCGATCATAGGTGTCTTCGAAGCGTTGCTCGTATATCCTGGGACCACCGGGTAAGTAATGCAGTTGTTAGGAAACGAGTATTAGGTAGGGATGGCAAATCGATTGATGAAGTAGTGAAACTTGATCATTTGAGATGGCTGGGACATGTGTTACGTATACCCGACCACCGACTGCCCAGACGTGCAATGTTTCATGGTGTAGGAGTAAGTTGGAAGAAAGCTAGGGGTGGCCAGACCAAAACGTGGCACAAATCAATGAAGTCACTGACAAGTGGACTGGGCCATGTTGGTAGGTGTAGACTACCTGGTTGGGATTCGCGAGATGATAACAACCGATGGTTAGAGACCTTGAATGGCATGGCTCAAAATACTTTGCAATGGCAAAGGTGCGTCCACTCTTTGTGTTGTACCAAATTCTAATCTTCTGAATTGTTCATGTCTTTATCTCTTTCTAAATTTATTTCACTGTACTATACCCCTTCAATAATTTCTTCAAATCCTAATCTTTTGGATTTCTGATTATACTCCTGCTACTTCTACCACTATGGGATTTGAATCGACAACTGCATCTCTGTGCTAATGTGGTATGGCAACTCGAACTGATGTACGTACGTACGAAGTTCTACGTTGTGACTAACTGACTGACTATTAACCAGTAACACCTACAGTTACAATACGAGTTCTAGAAAACTTGATGAAATTGTTTTTTTTGGCTGTTTAAATGTTAAAGTGGAGTTTCTCATGGTTATGTCCCAGGGCCTTTACTGTTTATACTGTGTGTCAATGAACTCCCAAGTATATTTGAGTCCCCAATTCTATTATATGCTGATGTAAAAATCTAGCGAAAAATATTGGGGGACGCATATACATGCACACTTTAGGCAATCTTAAATATTGTGATTAACTGGTCTGAAAAGTGGCTGATGACTAGCAACGCGACAAGGTGTGTCTACATACACTTTGGAGATACAAATGTAAATAGGTAAAACATAGGGGAAATGCCTGTACCCGTTATCCGGTCTCACTAAGATCTTAGGTTGACAGTGAGTCATGATCTTAAGACCACGGTCCATTGTCAGGAGGTCGTAGCTAAGGGGTTTAGAACTCTATATGCTTTCACCAAGTTAGATATTACCATGTTCACTATAGTATACACATCCTTAATGAGAAGTAAACTTGAGAACTGCGTTCAGGCTGCAAACCCCTGTTTAAAAGGTGATTCGGACAGAGGACAGCTACACATGGAATTCCAGAAACCCGCAGTTTACCATACACAAAGAGCAGCTTGAAAAGCTAAACCTCTTTACACTGTTATATCGCAGATCAAGAAGTGATTTAGGACCTAGTATATCCTCTTTTTCTTCCCACTAGACCTGGACATCTCAGAGGACATAGAAGGCGAGTAGATTAGCCAAGAACGGACAAAACACCCGTGGCATACAGGTTTTTACACATAGTCATCAATTTTTGGAACCTGTTACTCGAAGCAGTGGAGTCCGCACCTTTAATTAACTCATTCAAGAGAAGACTAGACACTTACACAAGCATACTAGGAAAGGAAAATCAGAGGCAGTAGGCCTTCTGTGCTTACTACACATGTCTGAATACCGGAGGATATAAAAACATAGAAAGCTCGGGGAACGACAATTATTAGAATTTCCATTAGCTTAAAGAAGAACACATTTCATAGATTTTAAGAACTTACGGAATTCATTTTCGATTTCCATAATTACTTCTATGTGGTCCAGACTATCAAGACCGAGATCTTTGATAAACGAGGAATCAAGCGTAAGCTGCATGAAATGTAAAATAAATGTGCACAAGAACCTTATCGGACTGGATTTTATCGTACGCAGAACAGACAGCTAATACTTTACTTTCCACCTCAGGTTTAGACAGCAGGATTCTTATCGAACGTGTTTGAGTTAGACATGGGTATGCAGACGGTTTATTTCCCAAAATGTTATTGGATACAGATAAAGTGTGTAAAATATTCCGCGGAAATACATATCTTTGAGACCCTAACCTCCAAACAGCAGAAGCAAAGCACAAGGCGTTCATGTTTGAAATTGCGCTATAAATGACCCACACTAAACATACACCACAATTTCATTGACCTAAACGTCCTAGCACTTTTTAACTTAAATCTCGTAAGATTAAACCATTGTGCCTTCAAAAAGGCAATTAAATGATTATCAAAATGTTAAGGTCCACTTTTTCTTAAGTGTCCAGAGAAAGAAGTTAAGCATAATAACATTATTTACAAGGATGTTTGTAGCTTCATACAGTGATTCTACACCTAAATGTCTTAGTTTTGTAGTTTACTGTTCTCTTTTCCACCGTAGTTAAATATTACGTTGTATATTCAATTACTCATTGAAATGGTATCATAGTAACAAGGGGTGATAGTATTTCAAACTTGTGAATGTTAAATGAATCTTATACATTCAAAAACTCTCATACCAACACAAGAATATGAAGCTAAGGTTCAGAGCGTAGCTTGGTCTCCAAATAACAAGAAAATAGCCGTATGCACCGGTGACCGAATGGTAATTATTTTTGATGAGAATGGAGAGCGTCGTACTCGTTTTTCTACAAAGACTTCTGATTCAAAAAATGATGGGAATTTATTTCAAGTAAGAGGCATGGCGTTTTCTCATGATTCTATCAAACTTGCTGTTGCACATTCAGACAACATAATATTTGTGTACAAGTTAGGAGAGTCATGGGATGAGAAAGTAGTAATTTGCAATAAATTCCCACAAAAGTGTCCGGTAACATGTATTGCTTGGCCATTACATCAACCTATTATTTGTGGCCTTGCTGATGGCAAGGTTAGGGCTGCAAACACACGTACAAATAAATCATCCACTATATATAATGCTGACTCATATGTTGTTTCAATTTCAGCGAATATTACGGGCAAAGGATTTATTTCTGGGCATGCAGACGGGAAAATAATTCGATATTTTTTTGATGATGATGGTTCAGGTGACGCTCAAGGGAAACTTACGACTCACCCTACAGCCCCGTATGCTTTAACGTGGGCTGGTTCCACAATCCTAGCTGCTGGTTGTGATAAACGTATCTATGTCTATAACAGAGAGGGGAAGCTTGTACAGCAACTCGATTACAGCAAAGATGACAGTGAAAAAGAATTTACTGTCGCGTCATGCAACCCTAGTGGACACGTCGTTGCATTCGGAAGCTTTAATCGCATCCGTGTGCTTTCATGGAGCCCTCGTAAAGGTGGATGGGAGGAATGTAAGCTGAAAGAAATAAAAAATCTGTACACTATAACGGCTATTGGCTGGAAGCAAGACGGTTCAAAATTAGTTGTTGGGACTTATTGTGGTGGGGTTGACCTATTTGACTGTTGTGTGAAGAAGAAACTATACAGGAACATTTTTGAACTAAATTATGTTGGACCAAGTCAAGTCATCGTAAAAAACTTAAAATCCGGAGACACAATTGTTCTTCAGTCGAAATTCGGTTATGAAATTGACGATGTGAAAGTAATGGGTAAAAATCGATACTTGGTCACACATACATCGCATACCCTAATACTTGGTGATCTTCGTGAGAATCAGTTGAGTGAAGTTCAGTGGAGTAGAAAGAACCCTAAAGAGCGCTTCTATTTTGGTTATAATAAATTTTGCATAATATTTGGTTCTGGTGAATTGTATGTGATTGAATATGGAGTTAATGAAATATTAGGCTCAGTTAGAACTGAATTTACCACTCCATTTCTAATAAGTGTTAGAATAAACGAACGAAAGTCCAGCAATAATCGTACATGTAAAAAAATTGCCTATATGTTAGATCTGAAAACAGTAGCCATTTTTGATTTTGTAACAGGGTCAAATGTTGCACACGTTTCTCATGATAGAAAAATTGATTGGATTGAATTAAATGAAACTGGACAAAAGCTACTTTTTCGAGACAAGAAGCTTCAACTTATCTTATTTGATATAGAAACAGGTGTCAAATCCATGCTACTTAACTTTTGCTATTATGTACAATGGGTTCCTCAGAGTGATGTCATAATTGCTCAGTCCAAAGATAGCCTGTGCATTTGGTACAACACTGAGTCGACTGACAGGATGACATCAATCCCGTTGAGAGGTGGAGACATCACAGATGTCGTTCGTCAGAATGGAAGGACAGAGGTTTTAATAAACGAGGGTGTGAAAACTGTTGCTTATGCTCTGGATGACAGTCTTATTGAATTTGGTACTGCGATGGATGATGGAGACCTTGAAAGAGCGGTTTCATTTCTGGAAAGCTTAGAAGTAACACCCGAAACAAAATCTATGTGGACTAAACTGGGATTTGCCTCTTTAAAGGCTGGAAATTTAATAGTTTCAGAACAGTCCTTTGCTTCTTTAGGTTGTGTGAGCAAGTCACGATATTTGCGGCAAACTCGAAACCTATTAATGGAAAACAAATTATCCAAGTCCAATGCCCAGGCATGCATTGCTATCCTTGAGAAAGACTTTCGAGCAGCTGAGAACATATTTCTGTCACAAAATTCTATTGAGGATGTCGTAAAATTGTACAAGGATCTACTTAAATGGGATGATGCTATTGAGGTCAGTTCAACATTTAGTGGTTGCTTTGTAAATGTTATTTCTTAAAATGTACTAGTACCTATCCGGTGTTAACGAAAGCAAGATCATAAAGCTAATTATCATTAAATTACATTTACACATTCTGAAGGTATAATAATTAAAGTTATGCTTAGTTTGTAACTTCTAGTAAAGTTGCTTTTAAATAACTAAACAATTATGTTGCATCAAAACTGGTCATTCAAATAAAAATTGCTTCTCATATTGAGAATAAAATTCCTCTTTCCAAAACCTTTTATGATTGCGTATAGGCATTTTATGAATTTCAAATTTATTTGTAACAGGTTCATTTCATATTGATACAAAGCCAGAAAGCACATATGTTTTTTCTGAAATAGGAGTTTTCAGTCTTATCTATGTGTAGATTTTATTAAGCAATCTAATATTATGCCATTCTACTTTCCTAATCAGTAATTACGATAATCACGCGAATCCCAACTAGGTAGTCTACACACATGAACATGGCTTAGTACAATTGTAACCTACGTCAAAGACTGATGTCACGCCTTGGTTTGGTCGTATCTAGCTTCTCTCTAACCTACTTCTACACCACACAATATCACTCGTCAAGGTAGGCGGTAGTTGGGCACATGTAACACATATCCGAGCCACCTCAGTTGGGGAAGATTTAAAACGTCATCGGAAAATAACTAATTTTATATGGTTCGTTTCATTCCTAAACAGCACAAGAACAACAGTTTTCAACCATCATCCTAATGCCTGGGTAATAAAAACGGTCCCAAAGTGGGAAATGACATTTGTTAGCGTAATAAAGTGTGTGGGCTTGTTTTAGTAAGTCAGCGCATCTAAACTACCAAGTGTTACATTGAGGGCTGGTTGTGCTGTTCCTTATTTCCTTGTATGATCAATGAGAAGCGTTAAACTATAATAAACACGCATTTTGACGTTTACCGTTTCTTGTATTTTGGACAGAAATGAGAGCTATCATTTAATAAACTGAACTTTTGCAAACGAATTGAATGGTTTGTCGATAGTCGATTTTTTAAGATTTTGAGTCTGTTTGCTCTTTGGTCTTTCATATTAGATATCTGAAGCTAAAGATTGGTCTGGTTTGGACAGGCTCAAAAAAGATTATCACAATTGGTTAACGGAAACTGGACAAGAGGAGAAAGCTGGTGATTTACGTCAAAAAGATGGTGATTTTAATGGTGCAATAACACTGTATCTTCGTGCTGGTGTACCTGGTAAGGCCGCACGTTTAGCATTATTTGAACCGGAAATTTCATCAGATAGATTACTGATGGAAAGAATCATTATGGTACGCGTGGAACAATTTTTGGCATGCTACATCATATAATATCTTTCTTTTTTTAAATATCTGTTTATGTGTGAAAAAACTAACAGCATATCTTAATGAAGTACTATAATTGAACCTGTTAAATGTATGTAGTGACTCAAAACGTTGATAACCTAATCAATGTCACTGTTAGTAGCGGAAAGTGGCCCCAATGGAGGACACAAGGAAGTTTTTTAATTGAACACTTTAGTCTAGGAAGGTTGTCAATTGAGGTGGGTAACACTTGATATTCATGAATTAAGGTCGTTGTTTGTGTTCTCTTGATGCCAAGAAAAGTTTGTTTTGAAGTCAAACAGGGACCCACGGTCTGCGAGTGACCGTCTTATATCTCTTTAAGTTGAGCGACGAAATTCGACAATAATAACTATGTTTAAGTTTACCCTATACTGTGCTTCAATATCATTTTGTTGGCAGGCATATATCAGATTCATACTTAAATACACTAGAAAACTAAGTATCTTTTGTACTTCTCAAAACTAAACCAAACTAGATATTACGTATAATCAGTTTAACTTCACTTGTTGGTATCATAAACTGATTTAAGTCTTCCGTTACTTTGAGTTAGTCTTGATCCGTTAAATCCCTTGCTAGTTTTTTTTAGACACAAAACTAGTGGCAATTTTTTGACGATTAACTATATTGGTGGCTAGTTGTGATATGATCTATCTCTATATCTTGATGTACTGGTATTAGTAGTTGCTAGTTAAGAACTCGTCATATCTCATGCTGTAATTCGGCACCTGGAAACAGATAAACATCAACTCCCTTTCACAAAACTGTCTTTTTGATTAGTTTTACCTACAAACATGTGAAAATAAATTGTCTATTGTGGGACTCTTCAGCAGTGACAAGTGGAGTTGAACCAGGTCTGTTGTGAGATAGTGACTCACTGAAGACAATGGTGGATGTGTCGCTCAATTTCGTGTATCGCTTGAAGCTAGACATTAACATTGTTGGATGCCAGCTCAGTGGTATAGAGGTTAGGCGTCGCGCACGAGACTAATTGGTCCTGGGTTCGAATCTCATGAGGCAGGATCGTGGATGCGCACTGTCGAGGAGTCTTACGATAGGACGAAACGACCGTTCAGTGCTCCCAGGTTTCCCATGATGGTCTAGATTCAATTGACTCATGATCTCAACTATTAAAATTGCTATAATGTCCACAAAATCCCTTCTGATATTAAAAACAAAATTATTTATGAATGATTACTTAACACTGTGATTGGCAAAAATAAAGCAATTAGTCCTTTTAATAAATTTCGATAGTCTGTGGTCACGCATACCTAGGGAGGTGTGATCGTGATCTCTAAATTAGGGTATGTGAACATGTACCTAAATAGTTGCATAAATAAATAAAATCAAATGACCCAATAAAAGTAGAGGATAAGCATTTATCATCCTTTATTGCTAAACATATAAGATTAAATTCACTTGGTATTGTCTGGTTGAATCTTCCCATTGATGTTTAGGACTGCAGTTGATCAGTCTCTTATTGGCATATGTGCATGCTGTGCGTATAGTCTAAATATAGCCTTAATTCACAAGCATTGTAAGCAAAGATGGATAGTAGTTAGCAGTGTGATCAAGGACGCGCGTTTCGTCCTATTTGGGACTCATCAGCTGGATGTACCTGCATCTCAGAGTTGATGTTCACTTTGTGACTCGAACCCAGTACCTTTCACTTCAAACGCCATCGCGTTCTCCACTTAGCTACTGAATCCTCAGTACATCCATCTGACGAGTCCCAAATAGGACGAAACACGCGTCCTTAATTTCACTGCTAGCTACTACCCATCTTTGCTTATAAGGCCATAAGATTGACTTTAACTAAGCTTTTTCGATGTTGTACAGGAGTGTAAAAGGGCGTATACTAAGGTTTAACCATACAAAAGTTCAAACCCACTTTTGTGTACTCAAAAACAGTTTGTTCTCACTTTAGATCTACCCTGGTAATATTAGCTTATTATTCAGAATGATTAGGTGTAAAATTGTTTTCACATTATTTTCTTTATTATCCTCGTCTCCTATTACCCCCTATTTCTAGTCTAGTTCACCTTATAGATCTTAACAACTACATGTGTGATCAGATTGTTCGAAATGTATTGCACTAATATATCACGTAGTTCGGATAATGTTCATCTTCTTATTACATAATCGAAAAATAAATTAACCTCAAAATTACTAGTAATGAAGTGTGACTGCATTATTTTAAAAAACTGTTCACAGTTTTATTTTATAAGTAATAGCTACTATTTAAAAATTCATTAGTTCAGGGATAGGATATATGTCTGCGAATTTGTAGAGCTTCTGCTTCCCAATGTCCAATGTGCATGCAATATATGTAGCATTCTTCCGTTCATTTAATTAGTGAATGCTGAATGTAAGAGTATAATTTCCACTGGGGATTTTATTCCAAGCATCTCGTTATCTGTTACTGGTTCTACTGAACATATCTAAAGTTTATTGAATAGCTATATTTCTGTGAAGAATTAAGAGGAGCCCATATCATTTCCAACGGTACAAACTTATTCGTCAGATCAATAATATTTGATTTTTCTGAAACAAGTATTTAGATGTAATCAATAATTCATATGAACATATAGTTTTTCGACATTAAACTTCATGGAATATCTGTGTAAATGAAGTGTGAACCATTTTATTTCACGTAAAGTTCATCATTATCTTCTACTTTCAAAATATCAAAATATGCCCTGGTACGGCCGAGAGTGGGGAAAGTTCGCTCTCCCTCGCGAAATGCTCTCACATGGTCACGCGTATATAGCCTCTTCCAGTGAAGTCCTACTCACTGCCTTCTCGTGGCATTACTGTTGTTTACAAAATTGAGAGGACGAAAAGCGAATGTCCGGCTCTCTAACTGGGTTGGTGGATGTGGAGTGTCCACCTAAGGGAGTTGGAAAACCCTCATTCCAAACTAATGGTGCACATGGGCTCCAGTGTCCTGAGGGGAAAAATGGCGTATAAATCAATCGTTGATCACCGGCTACCATGGGACTGCATCTCCTAACGATGCTCCACTGTCTTGTGGATCAGATATTTAGGTCAAAGGCTCGTTGTGTGACCCCCTAAGGAAACCACCTGTTTCAGTTCGGGCACCCGGGCAGTATCACAGCCCTCACACAAATCAAATGAGATTTGTGTGGCGCATATGTATTCGGTGCCCCTTTGTACCAATATTTGTGTTCAAATAAATAAATAAATAAAATACTGCTAATATTTTATAAAAAGTCTCTTTAGTTTTTGCTTGTATTATCCGTTGATATTATGAACTGCATTCGATTAGTCTCTTGGCATATACTCATCCTTAGCTGGTTGAGTCGATATTTCTGCACTACTCATAAGTTTTTATTAAAGTTGGATAATGTCTAGCAATGGTATTCAGGACTCATGGTTCATCCTATATGGGACATGTCAACTGGATATGCTTACATCAAGGTATGGATCATCAGTCAGGAAGACACAAACACATGTCAATCGAATTCACCTTCTATGTACAAGCCAATTGTTATTTGTACTCAGTAGCTCACCTGATTGTCCATTTAAGGCAAAAAGTAGTAGGCTCAAATCGCAGTATGAACATTAACAATGGGACGCCGGTACATTCATCTGAGGAGTCCCAAATAGAATGGAACGCGTGTCCTGAATCCCATTGTTAGCCACTACCAGACTTAAGCGAAAATCTTTTTAATTTCCCCTTACTTTTCCCTTTTTTATATGATATTCTTAAAAAAAGTCATTAACTCAATGCGAACTATATGAAAAAGCTGGTGAACTATATCAAAGTTTAGGTCAATCAGAGGATGCTATGCGTTGTTATCGTCAAGGCAATTGTTATCAAAAAGCAATTGAATTAGCTAGAATATCTTTTCCATCAAATATATTACAATTAGAAGAAGAATGGGGTGACTATTTAGTGACAAAACAACAAATGGATAATGCAATTAATCATTTCATTGAAGCTGGGTAAGTAAATATTTGATAATTCATAACAGTTCTTAATAATCACAAGTAAATATCATGATAAGGAAACTACTACGCATCACTGACATCCTATTATTCAATGAATCAAACTTAATCTGTTATCTCAGTGACTTAATGAAATTGACTATACACATTTATTGACACTAGACTGAAAAATAATTTGTATAGGAATATCGCTGCAAGATTTTAGCGTTCAAGAATGAATTTCATGGATGTTTTTAAATATTTTAAAGTGCTTAATACACAGTGGTCTTGAGTGCTGTTATAGGTATGAGAGCAGTTTTTATTTCCCGGTTGCCTACATTTTGGAAGGGTACCTGAAAAGGAATTTGGATTAAAAGTGGTCTTAATGACCTGAGAGCGTGATCGCAGTGCCCAACTGACAACTGCTTGAGGCAGGTCGCACACGACATTTTTGTGTTAACTCCGTACTTGTCGGGACCTTACCGCCGGAGATGGAAATCCGTGGGATAAGGCGAGGTGTGCATTTTTAGGGTTGACCTTTTCTAATCCCATCCTTCCTTGTGGGAAGGTAGCATCGCCCTTATGCTGGTTGTCTGAGGGATATACGTCCCTGCCGTCACACATCAGTACAGTCAACAGTATAACTTTACCCTCGGACCTTAGGTTTGCTGCTTTTAGTCTTACCGCTCTTCAACCGACCTGTCTGGCATAGTAGGACCTTGAGGAATGGTTGTCTGAGCCAGTATAGCTCGACTGTTTCATCATGATAGGCAAGTCCAACCATAACATCAACATAGCAGCAAATAATTGTTTCTCCCTGTATTATATCCTTATATGCAATCTTTCTTTTATATATCACTACCATTGAAGTAACCACTTCTATGAATTTGATGTTCATCTTTTTGTGTTAATGATGTGTGGCAACTTGGACCGATGCATATATGTGCCTGATCCTACGTTGTAGCTGACTGACTACGGCTAATCATGCTCTTCAGATGTAATTAAAAGGTATAAAAAAATTTCAATAAGTAGTGGTTTATTGCTTCAAGTATGTAACATTGACTACATTCTATTCTTTATTTGTCAAAGAAATGTTTCATTATCTTAATTTACATGTAAAATGTTTATTTTGTTTGATCACGTCACATTTGTGAACACTTTTTCGATGCATAACATTTTATTAAGTTAATCAATGTAGATTTAAAGTCAATATTTTGGATAATGATAAGTAAAATAACATTGGATTTTGAAACAGTACTAGTAAGAGACTGACCAGTTGCAGTCCTAAACATCAATGGGAAGATTCAAACAAACAATACTAAGTGAATTTAAACTTCACCTCATTGCACAAGCTAGTGGCTATCAGGACTCAGTAGTCGAGTGGATAACGCGATGGAGTTTGAAGCGAAAGGTACTGAGTTCAAATTCCAGAGTGAACATCAACTCTGAGATGCAGGTACATCCAGCTAATGAGTCCCAAATAGGACGAAACGCGCTTCCTGGATTCCACTGCTAGTCACCATCCACCTTTGCTTGCAATGCTTGTGAATTTAGGCTATACACACAGTATGCACATATGCCAATTAGAGACTGAACAGTTGCAGTCCTAAACATCAATGGGAAGATTCAAACAGACAATACTAAGTGCATCTGGTAAGAAACTGTCCAAAATTTGATTTATCAAAATTAAAATCCTATAGTAATGCAAGTAGCAAGAGTATAAGTAGTAATCTGAAAGATGAGGGTTTGAAGGAGTATAATACTGTGATACAAATTTAGAAAGAGAAAAAAGATAGAGACATGAAGAATTCAGAAGAATAGAATTTGGGGAGAATACAAAGAGTGGATGCACCTTCACCATTGTAAATGATTTTGAGCCATGTCATAAACTAAGTACTTCTATGAATTTGGTGTTCATCTTGTTGTACTAACGAGGTATGGCAACTTGGACCGATGCACAAATGTGCCTGGTCCTACGTTGTAACTGACTGACTGATATGTTATAATTATAAATCTTTCTTATTATTATTTCTATTTCAGTGCCTACATTAAAGCTACTGATGCAGCTATTAATTCATGTCAATGGACAAAAGCTTCTCATATATTAAATTCAATTGAAAATAAAAAATCCACTGAACAATTATCACCATATTTTCTTAAACTTGCTCAACATTATATTGTATGCCGGGAATATAATGCAGCAGAAAATGCATTTCTTAAAGCAAATCAATCCAAATTAGCTATTAATATGTATATTACAATAGGAATGTGGGAAAAAGCACATCAACTTGCTTCTTCAATTATGGATCATACAGAATTAACTAAGTAAATATATTCATTTGAATGATTTAATAGTAAACTATCAATTCTTATATCTGCAGAAATGATAGTGACTAGCAGTGGAATTCAGGAAAAGCGTTTCTCCATATTTGGGACTGGTCAGGTGGATGTATATTCATCCTAGAGTTGTTGTTCACTCTGGGACTCGAACCTAATAGTGTTCACGCGTCCAGGATTTCACTGCTAGTCACCATCATCTCTACTTATGATGCCTGTGACTTAAGGCAATCGGTACTAAATGCACATATGCCAATGAGAAACAGATCAAGTCCTAAACATCAATGGAAAGTTTCAAACATCTAATACAAAAATGTATCAATTCTCCTATGAATCGATCAGTCAGCCACAACGTAGAACTTCGTATGTACGTACATCAGTTCGATTTGCCATTCCACATTAACACAGAGATGCAGTTATCGATTCAAATCCCATAGTCGTAGAAATAGTAAGAGTATAAGCAGTAATCTGAAAGATTAGGGTTTGAAGATGTTATTGAAAGAGTATAATCCAATGAAATAAATTTAGAAAGAGAAAAGAGATAGAGACATGAAGAATTCAGAAGATTAGAATTTGGTACAACACAAAGAGTGGACGCACCTTCGCCATTGCAAACTATTTTGAGCCATGCCATTCAAGGTCTCTAACCATCGGTTGTTATCATCTCGCGAATCCCAACCAGGTAGTCTACACTTACCAACATGGCTCAATCCACTTGTCACTGACTTCATGGATTTGTGCCACGTTTTGGTCTGGCCGCTCTTAGCTTTCTTTCAACCTACTCCCACTCCATGAATCGTTATGAAAATTGGAAACCCATTAAAAGCCAGATAACACTAACATATTTGTTTCATATTAAGTTTAATGTTCTATAGTTAAGAAATATCAATAATTTGATTCTGATTTTATAGTTCAAAGAAAAATCTCCTAGTTAACAGATTGGAAAGGCATAGATTAGTCTTCCTTCTTTCAGTGAACATAATTTTCAACATGAGTCAATATATCGGTTATATATTTGATACCAAGACTAATTGTTAATGTAAGATATCTATGAAGTTAGACAAAAAACAATCTTTTATAACTTAATCAGTAAGAGTATTAGCTAGAATTGTTCCAGTGAGTAGGTTATGGTCTTAACTGAATGATTTTTGATCACTTTCGATTGTTTGGTTAAGACAGAAGAGATTCTTAATCTTGTTAAAATATTGAAGTTTTGGCCCTCTAGTGAAAAGTAATCGTTCTATGCCCTATAATCGACAATGAATAGTTAATTATTGTTTGTATGTAACTGGAACCATCTTAACACATTCAAATCTTCAAAATCGTCAATTTATCACAAAACACACCATAAGTACTTTTATAAGCTTATATTACATAATTTATTGAACAAATAACCATAGATTTACACTTCATCAATAGTCTGTAGACCGAATCTCGAAAACTAACTAGTACCTTCAAATGTTTTAATATAATTAACGTTTATTTAGAGAAATATAAAGGCAGTTCACTACTTTATTGACCGATTTGTCATCTTTACTAGTACCCTACGTCTAACTTCAGTATTCTTCACTAGATGATCCTAGTATCCTTGAGAGATACTTCTAAGGGATCTATCGTCAAATATTTGTTACCTATGAATATTCTCTGTTTTACGAGATCATTTTTCCCATTGTTGACCTATGATCATGAAAAGTGATTAAATTCACAATCTATAAGCCTTGGGAATGAGTGACAATTGCAATTAATCTACTTAGTTACTATTCAATGGATGAAATTTTCACTTACTAAACTATCACTATGAGTTAAACCATAATAAGTTGTTAGGTTTTCTGCTTATTTTAGGGAATTACCCATTTTTATATTATTATTATTATCATTATTCTTCTTCATTGTTCTATTACATTTCAATTAGTATGTATTTATCACATGCTGAAGAATTTGAAAAAATTGGTAATTACAAAGAAGCTGAACGTTTATACTTAACTATTAAAGAAACTGATCGAGCAATAACCATGTATAAAAATACACATCAATATAGAGAGATGTTACGTTTAGTTAAACAATTTAATGCTGATTTATTAGATCAAACTTATTTACATTTAGCTGAACAATTTCAAAGTGAAGGTAATCTTAAACAAGCAGAACAGTACTATTTAGAGGTATGAGTGTATGTGACTACATTTTCTTACAGTTTTATTTATGTAAATATTTAAAATAATTTAATTAGGAATAGTTTACAAGTCTTCTTGAGTTGTGTCAAATTTGCTTCAGGGGAAAAGAGGATACCTTAAGACAATGTTAAAAAAAAATGTTGATTTATATAAGTGTCTACTCATGAGCTACTTACTTACTTACTTACCTACGCCTGTTACCAGCATAGGCTACCTACCATCATTCTCCATCGAACTCTGTCCTGGGCAATCCTTTCCAGTAGCTATTCAATCTCGATGCAATGTGTTCATTGATATCTCTCTCTTCCGTTTCCATTCAGGATTCCAATTAAGGGCTTGCCTCGTGATACAGTTTGATGATATCCGCAATGTACGTCTTATCTACTCATTAGTAGCTAGACTTAGCTATTCTTTAATCGTTAATGATCGCAAAGTCAGAACAACTCATTTACTAATTACACATCCTTATACTCGTCTTCGAGCCACAACGTTATTCTATCTGACTGTGCGAATTGGAGTAGATAGAGAGGAGTTAAAAATTGTAACGGATTGTTCAGTTATGAAAACGGGTAGAATATTTACGGTATCTGGTAGATCATTCCAGAATTATGATTATTAGAGACAGTTTTTGACGGCTCCGTAAAAACATTGCTAAACAATCAGTAAGTACTATTGTGGTGTGGTCTACTTATATCCATATAAGTAGTATATGGTGTGGGTTAGACATGGAATGTATTTTGGCAGAAGACCGATGAGGAAAGAACTGAAATGAAGCGCAATCGTTTGGAAAATGCATGAGCAATGGAATAAGAGAAGAAACAGTGAAAATTAAAACAATTGGTTGTTAATTTGCAAATTGACTGTTCATTGTTTGGTAATCAGAATTTACTGAGATAGTCTGTAAGATAGTCTCTCAAGTACACATAGGATTGATAAAAATGACTTAACAGAATCTCTTGTTCACAGTATAAACAAATTCGAAATTCCAGTGAGAACCGTATATCTACAATGGTAAATATATAATGTTTCTGAATAGAAGAGAGTGGTAGAATTTAATCATTTTAAGCAATCAATTTGTAGCAGCGATTTCACACGAAGTATTTTGTAATTGAATTTATGTATAATCAACATATTACCTCACAACTTCCTATTCAATACATTGCTCCTAAAATATAACTATGCATTTAACGCAACAGAGTGGATGATATTCATCAGGGACCTAGAACAACCTAAAAGCAATTGAAAAATCCCAGAGAAACGGCCTACTGTTTGGTTCTTGTGCGGAACTTTTCAGTTGTGCCTAATCGAGACTATGAAAATGTCGTTTTCCATAATTTGTAAGTTGCGACTGAGCTGTCTTTAATCTTCAGTAGTTTCATAATATAACAACCAATACCTAAGTGAGGTACAGATTTACAAAGTCATATGAATGAATGATTTACAGACAATTCTTTACACAATAACATCAAGCATAGAAATTCCACGCAGACGAATTAGATTACTATCCATTACTTATTTGATGACTATAAGTCTTGAGTATATTTTGGATCCAAACTTAAGATATTTTGATTGCTTGCCTAGTAACTTATGTCTTTAAACAAAATTGAAACACTGAAAACTTTAAATTAACCATAATACCTGAAAATTTATATTTATCAATGCATTTTACTGTTTTTTTTAAAAAAAATTACTGCAGGCTAAAGATTGGAAATCAGCTGTAAGTATGTATCGTACGATTGATCGATGGGAAGATGCTTATCGTGTTGCATCAAGTTGTACAGAACAACCGGAATTACGTAAACAAGTAGCATATTTGTGGGCAAAACATTTAGGTGGTGAATCAGCAGTACGTTTGTTAACTCGTTTACGTTTAATAGAAAATGCTATTGATTATGCAACAGAACATTGTGCATTTGATTTTGCGTTTGAATTAGCTCAATCCGGTTCTTGCACTGAACGTTTACCTGAAGTTCATAATAAATATGCAATGTTCTTGGAAGATGAGGGAAAATTTACTGAAGCGGAAGAACAGTTTATCAAGGTGATATCTTTTTAGAAAAAATAAATTTTTTTATATATTTGTAATGTTAAACTAGAGCATAGTGACATGATAACTAAATTCGAGATGGCAACTTCAAAGCCACGGAGTATACCCAAACTAAAGATGCCTACTCTATATAAATTTATGTGTAATTTTTGAGAAAAGGTAATTGTCTACAGACCATAAATTTGTCATAAACAGGCATACGACAGGTAAACGACTATGGATGCTTGTGAACAAAACCTAGAAAGAAGATAAAATGTGTAAGCTGGTGGTTGAAAGTAATCGATAGGAAGCTTTGCTCAAACTAGGTTTCGCGTCATTTAGTACTAGCCAGCAAGGGGTATATTTAATCTTTGGGGTGCTGATGCTCTCTGTCATTAAATTCGCCAGGAAGCATCAATTCCCTCAAGATTACTGATACACGTTATTGACCAGTACCAAATAGCAGGAAACCTAGGTTGAGCAAGATTTCCTATCGACTGTCTCAAACCACCACCCTACATCTTAGCATAGTGCACGCGATATTGAGTTACATAGACTAGTTATCGCATTGCAACTTGATTGATAAAATTCCGTCTGCACTAAGAAGGACTCGATATACATGATGTTGGTCACCACACATCGATCAATCAGTTATAGATAAGAAGATCAAATTTGTTACCATAGTTTCAGTAATCGCTCGTTATTGTTACCATACCATAGTTCAACTCGTAATTTTGTGGCTTAGATCTTAGAGTTCAGTTTATTTCATTTACAAGCTTGATACTGAGGGACTAAAAACTATAAAATTTATAGTCCCTCTTCAGTATCTTCCGTTATCAAATGATTAGATTTTATCATAAATGACTTCAACTACTAATCTTTAGATTCCGAACCGATGACGCATATAGAGAACAATCTGATTGAAAGATATTTAGTGTATACTGTGAAATATTCCTAATTCACTAAGAAACTAATATTCATGTGTACATAACCGACTGAAAAAAATAGTCAAGTAACTGATTATTTATTTATTTGAACACAAATATTGGTACAAGGAAGCATCAGATACATATGCGCCACACAAATCTCATGTGAGGGCTGTGATACTACCCAGGTGGCCAAACCGAAGCAGGTGGGTTTCTTACGGGGTCACACCCGGAGCCTTTGACCTAAAGATCTTATCCACAAGGCAGTGGAGCACCGTAAGGAGATGCAGTCCCATGGCAGCCAGTGACCAACGATTGATTCATACGCCATTCGTCCCCTCAGGGTACTGGAGCCCATGTGCACCATTGGTTTGGAATCAGGGTTTTCCAACTCGCCTAGGTGGACTTTCCGTGTCCACCAACCTGGTTAATGCGCTGGATATTCGCTTTTCATCCTCTCAATTTCGTAAAGAACAGTAATGCCACGAGAAGGCAGTGAGTAGGACTTCACTGGAAGAGGCTATATACGCGTGACCATGTGAGAGCATTTCGCGAGGGAGAGGTGACTTTCCCCACTCTCGGCCATATCATGGCATTTGAGGGCCTAGTAACTGATATCAGTTTATAAAACAAAATCACGTTACATAAATCCAACCTAAATCCTTGTATTGTAATTTTAAAGCACTTATTTAACATAAAACTGATCACTCTTTTGCATTATTAATTCGAATCTACAACTATAGAAACTGATGAGAATTCATCATAACTAATATTCTTCTTTCATAGATCTGCGTTGTAATATAATTCAATTTTCATAACTTTATCTATTTATTAGGCAGGCAAACCTAGAGAAGCAGTACTTATGTATGTTCACAATCAAGACTGGGATTCAGCTGCACGTGTTGCTAGTGAACATGATCCAGATAGTATAAATGATGTGTTGCTTGGACAAGCTAGATTAGCATTTGGAGAAAAAGAATTTGCTCAAGCTGAAGCACTTCTCTTAAGAGCTCAACGTCCTGACATGGCAGTACGCGTATATCGTGAGGCGGGTATGTGGGAAGAAGCGATACGGGTAGCTGAAACTTATTTGCCTAATCGAGCTGAAGAGCTAAAGGCGAGTTTACATTAGTTCATTGGTAATTAATTTTTTTAGAGCTGAAGGGTTTCGGCTAATTTGTATATTAGTAACACAGGATAGTCAGGTTTGAAATGGTGATTTTTATGTTTTGTCATATAATACAAAATATAGCACTATCAGTCACTTAATAAGTGGATTGATAAAAGGTAGCCTTAAATATTAATTTAGGTGCTTTAATTATAAAACACCGAAACAGAAAGAGCAAAACAATACTCAAGCACTCAATTGTTGTGGAGTTCCAAAGTATTCTTCGGGGTCCAGCAAACTCGAGGAATCATTTTATCTGATCAGCGTAGCATAAAAGCTTCTAAAAACATCTAAAAATTAAAGAGTAATGCTTCATGTTTCTGATTGGATGTTTACCTATACTGCTGTCATATTTCGTATAGTTCAGAAACTTCCAGAATCCCAAGATCGTGTTTATCTTCATAAATACCATCGTCTTTCTGTGCGTAAAGTATCCGTAGAGTAAAACGTTCTTTTCACAATTCTTGATTTTTCTCTTGTGTCCAAGTTTCCGCGTAGATCTTATCTGAGCTCATTAGGCGCAGCTAGGAAACAGGATCGTATGTTCTTTTGGAAGATTTATCAGCAATGTGTAAATGCCTATTCGTCTTGACGCGAATTGACGCGAATTCATTAAGGATAGATCAATCAGGATTAAATTCTTGTTTGTTTGTAGGGGTTTTATTTTAATGAGAACTCTTGTTATAATTGATTTATCAGTGAATAAGCACTTCTGTTGTGTATGGATTTTTAAGTAGATTTGGATTCGATCACCAACTTGGTTTTTCGGAATACGATTGTATGTGTGAAGTAACAGATTCCTCGATTAACTGGTCTCTATGTTTATCTAACAATAAGGGACATATTCAGAAGTTGTGTTCCTCAAATGAAAGTTCAGAAGTTAAGCCAAAATACTTACTCAAAACAAAGCATAGAATAGTGTTTCATCAAGCCAGAATATCAGTTATGAAATGAAATAGATTCGGCAGTGTATTTTGATATTACGCCAAATGTGCAAAATAAACTGAAATTCTAAGAGTAGAGGTCAGAAAGACCACATAATGGAATTAAAACGATACCGCAAAAATTATTTAAAAAAAAACCATTTCACCATCAAAATAAAAGTACAAATGAATAGAATATAAAGTTTATGGTTTCAAAGATATGATACACGTCATAGAAACCAAGTCATTAAAATATATGAAGAATGTCTAAACTACTGACTAGTTATAATAAGTAGTGTAGTGTAAATACATAAAATGTGTGAGTAGAGAAGTAGATGATAAACAGATTCAGCTCTTATTGAAAACGTGATTTCTCATTATAGAATATCAGTTAAATTTTAGGCATCAAATATACATATTGTTTGAAATGACAGCTTTCCATATTTAAAACACGAAATTCAGCGAAGGGATCCCTTTGGTTCGAATCTTGCGAGTGCGGGATCGTGGATGCGCACTGCTGAGGAGTCCCATAATAGGACGAAACGGCCGTCCAGTACTTCCAAGTTTTCTATGGTGGTCTAGCTTCAAGTAACTCATGATTTCAACTTTGAAAAACACTGAAATCTCCACAAAACCCTTCTGATAATAATAATAATAATAATAATAATAATAGAATAATAATAATAATAATATTAAGGCCATGGTAACGATAATGATAAGACGTACTTCTTTTGTACGCATAGTTCCGGTTTAAGCTCATGGATGTTAAGAGCTTCGGCTATTTTTCTTAGTAGTTTGATACGAAGAAATCTAGGTAGATTTGAATGTGTGAATTATATACTCTTCATATTTAATAATATGAATACATTTTAAACTCAAACAGGAAGAACTACGCGAAGAAAGAATGCATGCAATCACGGGTGGACAAAGATTATCCAATCGTAAACAATCTACTGATCATCAAAAGACATCCATTTCAACAATGAATGAATTAACAAATTCAATTACAAATAATTACTTTTTACAAGCAAAAAATTATGAATCCAATGGTGAATATTTACGTGCAGTTGAATCTTATTTAAAAATTACACCTAATACAAATGATTCAATTACACCAGAATTATGTGAACATGCATGGTTACATGCTACTAATTTAGCAGTGAAATTTTTACCAACTGAAAGTTCAGTTAAAGTTACTGAATTAGTAGCTTCACGTTTAGCATCCATTGAAGTAAGTAATTTATAATGAATATTATTGATTAAATTCACTTTTTATTATTGTCTGTTTGAATCTTCCCATTGATGTTTTTAGAACTGTAACTGATCAGTCTCTAATTAGCATATGTGCATACTGTGCTTATTGCCTCAATATAGCCTTAATTCACAAGCATGACAAGAAAAGATAGATAGTGGCTAACAGTGGAATCCAGTTTGACGCGCGTTTCGTCTTATTTGGGACTCATCAGCTGGATGTACTTGCATCTCAGAGTTGATGTGCACTCTTTGACTAGAACAAAGTACCTTTCACTTCAAACTCAATCGCGTTATCCACTCGACCACTGAGTCCTGATAGCCTTTTGCTTGTGCAGTAACCAATTGCAGTTCTAAAAATCAATGGCAAGATTCAAACAAACAATACTAAGTGAATTTCAACTTCACTCCATTGCACAAGCAAGTGGCTATCAGGACTCAGTGGCCAAGTGGATAACGCGATGGAGTTTGAAGCGAAAGGTACTGGATTCGAATCCTAGAGTGAACGTCAATTCTGAGATGCAGGTACATCCAACTGACGAGTCCTAAATAGGATGAAACGCGCTTCCTGGATTCCACTGCTAGCCACAATTCATCTTTGCTTAATATTATTGATTATTTGACTAAGACTATAATTTATGGACAACTTTTGATGGACACTAAAGTGACTTTCAGAAAAATTCATCAACCTACTAGGATCTAAAGTGTCTTATAAATTAGTTGGGGTTATGAATTAGAGTTGAAGTTTTCATCACGAACTCATATTAACTATAATATCAAAATGCTATTTAGCTAGTTTAATGAATGAATTTTGAACTAAAACCTAAAATTCATTTATCCTAAATTTCATTGGTTCGTCTACAAATCATAGTTTCGCCCTTATTTATGCTGATTTATTTGAATCTATAGAATAATGATTGTAAATATTGGGCGGTCGAAATAAGTTATTGAATGATTTTTTACATTAGATTAGACAAAACCCCATTCTAATAATAATCATCATGTGTTCACTAGTGACTAGCTTCAACTTGGATTTCCTGGAGTTCTAGTGAGAATCTGTGACCAGCGGAGTTCAATCCGTGTCAAGTAGAGACAAGTATCTACCTTAGACAATGGATGAATGGTTGTGGAAGATCATGGATCGGTTGAAATTAGACATTAACATCATTGGATGCCGGTTCAGCGGTTTAGACGCTGTGTTCGCGTGCGAGACCGGAGGCCCTGGATTCGATTTTCGCATACAGGATTGTAGGTGTGCACTTCTGATGAGTCCCATACTTGGATGAAACGGTCGTTCAGTGCTTCTAGGTTTTCCATGGTAGTCTAATTTTAATTGACTTATGGATTTAACTATCCAAAAAATGTGAATAGATTAATTTATGTGGATATGCAACGTAAATGACATTAAATACTTGATTGAATTTCTAACTTTTTATATTCCAGTTATCAAATGAGTACAACTGGGGATTTTAATTCAAGGCTATTTCTCACATTAATAATCTAATATATTTAATATGAAGAATATATTTGAAAAGTCTCAGCGAATGAATATGAATTAAATCCAACGTTTCATCTCTCTTGGACCAGATTGCCAGGTGAAATGTTGGATTTATTTCAAATTCATTCGCTGAGATGTTTCACAAACATATTCTTTCTATTTTAATGTGTTACATCAATTCGGCGATCAAATACTACGAAACCATTTGCTTTAATTTAGACGAAACTTCTTATATATATATCTAATATATTTGTTTATATAATCAAAGTTAAAATCTATATTTAAGCCATTCTAAAGGCTAAAATAAGAAAGAATTTTTGGAATAGTCTAATCAGTTTAAGAAAGATTATAGAAATTACTTATGAATAGATTGTATCAAATCTACTCAGAATACTGGTTGTTTCTTCTTATGCAATCTTGCCAGTATGTTCTTTCATTATCAATTTACATAAAGGAAAAATTTGCATTTTTTTTGTCAATGTTAATCAATAAAATATGTACTAGTCCGTCAGTAGATAAGATCTAAGATTTATCAATGATAATATATTTGTTGAAGTCTAACAACATAATATAGTGCTTTTGATTGATTTGTTAATGATATCGTTAGAAGTTGACTATCAAAATAGTTTAACTGATGGTAAAATGAAATATTCAAAAGTATTCGCAATAAACCAAATGTTCTTTTAGTAGAACTAAATGAATATGAACTGAGAAAGTTTTGGTAATGGTGTACTCTCTGCAATAAATAATTTAAATGTCAAACTATTAATGTTATTCACAATATTCATCTAGACAGTCAGTAATAAGCAACATCAAATGGATGCATCACGTCAGTACGACAAGGTGAAATCAACACGATGAACACCGAAGTAGCAGTCAGTCAGTCAGTCATAATGTAGAACTTCGTACGTACGTACGTACATCAGTTCCAGTTGCCATACCACATTAACACACAGATGCAGTTGTCGATTCAAATCTCATTTTGGTAGAAGTAGTAAAAGTATAAGTATTATGTGAAAGATAAAGGTTTGAAGATGTTATTGAAGTTGTATAATATGGTGAAATAAATTTGGAAAGAGAAAAAGTATACGGACATGAACAATTCAGAAGATTAGAATTTGGTAGAACACAAAGAGTGGACGCACCTTTGCCATTGCAAACGATTTTGAGCCATGTAATTCAAGGTCTCTAACCATTGATTGCTATCATCTCGCGAATCTCAACCAGATAGTCTACACCTACCAACATGGCTCAATCCATTTGTCAGTGACTTCATGGATTTGTTCCACATTTTGATCTGGCCACCCCTAGCCTTCTTCCAATCTACTCCTACACCATAAAACATTGCTCGTCGGGCAGTAGAAGGTTGAGCATACGTAACACGTAACCCATCCATCTCAACTGATCAAGTTTCACTACTTCATCAATCGATTTGACATCCTTACCTAGTACCCGTATCCTAACAACTGAATTACTTACTCGGTGGTCCCAGGATATACGAGCAATACTTCGAAAACACCTATGATCGAAAACTAGTAGCCTACAAATATCCTCTACTCTTATCGGCCATGCTTCACTGCCATACAGTAGAACGGAAGGAATTGCTGCACAGTAAACCCGTCCTTTGGTTGGTAGACGGATATCTCGCCTACGTCATAAATGACGCAAGTTGGCGAAAACTAGACGAGCCTTTTGTATCCGTTCTGAGATTTCGTCACACACCAGACCACAAGGGCTGATAAGACTTCCAAGATAAGTGAAGCGGTCAACACGCGGTCAATACCGAAGTAGCAGAAGTTTTTGTATCACTGGTAGTAAAAAAATACTAATCACAGTGAAAATAATTTGACAAGAAAGTATAAATTTGTGCAATATAATAAGTTTTAACTGAGAATCTACAGACAGACTAAAAGTAAATGTTTGTACATCATTGTAATCGATCTTAATTCCGATACATAAATGTGCCTGGTCCTACTTTGTAGCTAACTGACTGATTTAGTTCATGCAATGTAATATTTAGCAAATATTGGTCAGGGTAATCACATGAATTCTATGGATATAATATATGCTTACCAGATATATTATTCAAAAAAATACATGACTAAGTGAGAAGAAAGACAAATATAAGTTTGTTTGGCCAGCGAAGAATAGATGATACAGTATAAACAGAATATACTCCTTCTTTATACCAGTAGACTAGATTGGTTATATCAACTTCAGAAAATTGAAATTATCAATTAATTAGTCAATCGTCTTATATGAGACCCATTTACTAAATACTGAAAGACCAAAATTTTGACTAGATAAACTTGCAACCCATTTACTAAGTACGCGTTTATGAACTCAGTTTTATGCCTAATTCTTTTCAGTGCAGTGGATGTAATGATACTTAATACCTGCGCAAAGCGAAGTTCGAAGGCTATTTAAAAAAAAACTGCTAATTTACACTATTAGTATTATGATCATTCATCACATATTCACACCTTATCATTAAATAACCATAGTCTTCCTAGAATAGACAATATGTGGCTACTACGGGAATCCAGGACACACCTCTCGTCCTGTTTAGGACACATTAGCTGGATATATCCGGATCCGAGCTGATGTTTACTTCATGACTTGGACTCAGTACATTTCACTTTACACTTCAACGCATTATTCATTTAGCTACTTAGTCCATGATGTCATTCCCTCGTTCAATGGTACATTCAACTGATTAGTCCTAAATGAGATAAAAAGTGCGTCTTAAATTCAACTGCTAGCCACATTCCATCTATTTTTAAAGAGAATTGTATCATAATGACTATACCAAAGCAATCAGTACACGATAAACATATGTCAACAAAGATTAATCAAATTTCAATCAACTTATCAAAAACAAGATAGACCAAACCATTACAAAATTGGGTGCCGGCTCAGTGGTCTATCGGTTAAGTGTTCTGGCGCGAGACTGCTAGGTCCTGGGTTGGAATCTCGCGAGTGTGGGATCGTGGATGCGCACTGTTAAGGAGTCCCATAATAGGACGAAACGGCCGTCCAATGCTTCCAGGTTTTTCATGGTGGTCTAGCTTCAATTGACTCATGATTTCAGCTATGAAAATACTGAAATCTCCACAAAACCCCCTCTGATCTTTTACAAAATAATTCAATCTAATCTTCATTTTCATTTTTTTGTTTGCCAATTTTAGCGTCATACTTTAGCTGGTGAATTACTTTTAAGTATTGATAAAATACATAAAGCTATTGATGCATTTATTGCTGGAGAGAATTGGTCAAAAGCTAAATGTGTAGCACGTGAATTAGAGCCACGTTTAGAAGCATATGTTGAAGCAAAATATAAAGAAGCATTAAAAGTAAGTTATTAGAAATATTACTTAGAATTCACATTGTATGTAACTCATGAAGCCAGTCAAATTCGAAGTAAGAACACTTACTTAATAATGATTAGAAATTATTTAACAATGAATCAATAAAAGAACAATAAATTGTTAACTATGGTACTAACTAACTTATGAGTTAAGTCATTCTGGCAATGTATATAGAAAGTAATTTTTTACGCTAATTCGTCACTTCTCCGTAACCAATGTTGTGTTTAGTGATCCTAAATAGTAATCGGAGTCTGACGATCAAAACGAATCTTGTTTCAAGTTACTAAACATAGTGCTAAGTTTTTTTTTTGGATACTGATTATATTTAATAAATGACTTAACTTATTAGACGACTAATTCTCTCTTTATAGACCAACTGCTGGCAAGTAATTTTTAATAATATAAGAAGGTTAGACGAAGTTCGAGTCCTGGAGCGAATATTAACTATGAGATGCATGTACATTCAGATAACAAGTTCAACATAGAACGAAGTGCGCGTCCTGGATTTCGCTGCCAGCCACCATCAATCTCTATGTAAGATCCTTGTGACTTATTGGCAATATCGAAGCAATCCGCAGAGGATGCACATATGTCGTTAAGAGGATGATCAATTACAGTCCTAACCAACTATGGGCAATTCCAAACAACCAATTTATATGAATAGTTCGGACTAGTTTTTATAAAAGTGACGAATATGAGCTTTTCATTTCATTTTGTATATACTTAATACAAAAGAAGGTCGCACAATGATTTAAACATTACAGATGAGTGATTATTATTTATTTGTTATTATGACCTATACGTTGTCCATCTCTTCTTCTAATCTATTCAGGGAACCGTTCATATTACTGAACGGTCAAATACTTATAACCTTTTCATGCCTCTTTTTTTTATACAGATAAGGGGACAAGCAGATACATTAGCTAGTGTTGATATAAATTCAGCTTTGGATATGTATGCAGAACAAGGTAAATGGGAAAAGTGTTTATCTACAGTGGAACAATTATTACATGAAGCTAAACAAAGCGCTAATGGTCATGGTATTAAGAATAAGGATAATAATAATAATAATCCAAGTAATGGAAATATCACCAGTACGTTGTCATCATCATCATCATCAAACGTTTTAAAAGAATATCAACGTTTACATAAATATGTTGCTGCTTATGCTGCTAATTTAATCAAAGATTCACGTGTTTACGATGCTATGTTATTATATAAAAAATATGGTACACCAGCATATAAACAAAATTTCAATATTTATAAACGTATATTTCAAGTAAGTCAATTAAATACAATCCTAACTCATAACGGAAAAAATAAGTTAACCATTTGAAATATATGAAGATCAAGTCAGTTTGAAAATGCTATATGTCTTGAAAGAAATAGAAGTTAGATGTTAACACCGTTGAATGCCAACTCAATGGTTTAGAGATCAAGTATTCATTCAAATGTCATAGGTTCGAGTCCCGAGTACGAGATCGTGGATTCATCCTGCTGAGGAGTTCTATACTAAAGCGAAGCGGCCTTCTAGTACTTCTAGGTTTTTAATGGTGGTCTAGCTTAGATTGACTCATGAATTCAACTACTAAAATAGAATAGCTCAAACGTCTAATTTTATTTGATTCATAACATTAGCTTCAGTAGTAATGTTTGCATCATTTTCAATATAGTTATAATTTATCAGTCATGACTTATCACTGAAACATTAAGAAGAAATTTTGGTTGGTTCAACAAGTAAACTGTATTAAATGATAAACGACTTGTAATAGGTATGGTAGGTTCAATTTATAACATTTGACAAATCTAAGTAGACAAAGAGAAAATACTATACCTGGATAGGATACTTTGTTGCTAAAAGCTAAATGAAATTTTTTACTTCTCATATGGATTTTTAGGTTATCTGATTGATATAAACAGGAATGTGTTGGCAAACATTTTAACCATGTGTCAAATCCACTCATTTATAGTAGTTCGCACACAGTTGAGTATGAGTAATAATCTAGCCTTAATGGAGTTTATAGTTCACTTACTTTTACTGGGGATATTATTTAATTTCAGATTCGGTTTATTAGTGTAAAGTTATGGTAACTTGTCCCAATATAAATTTATCCGAAGTCTTAAATTCTCTGTGAACTAACTGATGAAATTCAATTTGAAAATCCATCATTCTGAGTGGAAGGGGTCCATATTGTTTTTAAGTGATAAACACACATTACATCCAAGTGTTATCAGAAGGGGTTTTGTGGAGATTTAGTATTTTTCATAGTTGTTTGTCGTGAGATATCAACTCACTGAAGACAATTGATGAACGGTTGCTCAACTTCGTGGATCAGTTGAAGTTAGACATTAACACCGTTGGATACCAGCTCAGTGGTCTATCGGTTAAGGGTTCTAGCTCGAGATTGGTAGGTTCTGGGTTGGAATCTCGCGAGTGCGAGATCGTGGATGCGCACTGCTAAGGAGTCCCATAATAGGACGAAACAGCCGTCCAATGCTTCCAGGTTTTTCATGGTGGTCTAGCTTCAATTGACTCACGCTTTCAACATCCAAGTGTGTTTATCCAGTTAACCAAGTTAAGGAGCTTCGATAAGACTTATCTTACATTTATCTGTGGATTCAACGGTTAGTTTTCATGAACTTGAGTTATAAAACAGCTACTAATACTAGATACATATAATACTATCTTTATTATCTCTTAAGTAACCAATTTTGTATTACAGTTGTGTTCAGTGGTTAAAAACTATTAACACATGTTATGTAAAAAGTATATAATAAGTATTACTTCCTACACGTTTGCATTTTCCAGAATATGGAAACATCTCTAGGGACACTGTCCTTCGAAATCTCCATCAAGCACTGAAGTGTCATTATGTTATTATTATTACTACCATTATTATCATTAATATGATGTCTTGTAGTCGTAAAAGATCTAAACTCACACTGACTTTAGAACGTGCCCCCAAACCATTCTCAGTACAAATCACAACAGGTGGAAAAAGTATTTCTATACGGGATACCAGTTGAAGGTTACCTGTGTTTTCCGAACTGGGATAGTACTATATAGAGATATAAAAACGATGCACCATATTGATATCCATCTGTAATCTCCAACCACTGACTGATTAAACACAGTAAGTATACCATCACGGAACGATATTTTTAAAATCTATCAGTTTTACTTCAAGAGTCCTTAGAATTCAGAAAAATTCATATAAACAAGCTATTCAAACGGTTTATTCTAAGTCAAACGCTGTTACCTTCAAGACATCTAAGAACCGATAATGTATTTATCATGTTTCTCGATGAACTACTACGATCATCATCAGGAAGGTACAAGTATTTATAAACAGTTGTCTACGCAAAATACTCAACATCCATTGGCTGGATACTATCAGCAACAGCGTTTTATGGGAGAGGACAAACAAGCTTCCAGCTGAAGAAGAAATTAGGAAAAGACGTTGAAAGTCGATCGGACATACATTAAGGAAATCACCAATGTGCATTACAAGGCAATCCCTAAATTGGAATCCGGAAGGGAAGCGAAAAAGAGGAAGGCCAAAGAACAAATTACGCCGTGAAATATAAGCAAATATAAAAAGGATGAATGTTAACTGGAAAAAACTGGAAAGGAAGGCTCAGGACAGAGTTGGATGGAGAATGCTGGTGAGCGGACTATGCTCCTCGACGAGGGGTAACAGGCGTAAATAAAATAAATAAATAATAATGTTTCTCGATATTACTCTGACAATTACTTATTCCTGGATAACGCTAATCTTGATCATGAGAAAAGACATTATTTGATCTACTTTGTAATAGTGAATAATTATGAAACATATAAAGCTCTTCAAAAAGCCATTACGGACAATAATTATGATCTATCCTACACGAATTAAATTTAAAAAAGCTCTTAAATATAGTCTAATAGCTTCTTTTTTTTAGGGCATAACAAGTCAACGTGGTCTATACGGATCAGATGCTTATCCAACATGGTCAACATTACGTGATATCTTATTTGATTTAAACCAAAATCTTAAACAAACCAAATCTGATATACAATCAGAAATTATAAAATTATTTGAACGTATGCTTTTAGTGACGCATTATTATGCTATCCGTTCAGCCTTATTATCAACACAACAAGATGTTAAAGAGGTAAGTTTTGCATACGACTAATTAGTGTTTAAAATTAACATTTATATACTTTTTTTTTAATCATATTCTATCGTGTTTGGTTGGTTTTTCTTTTCTGAAAATGAATTGTAAATCATCATTATAGGGTTGTGAAGATTATCAAGTTTAGATTGATATCTTAAATGGATCAATGTTAGACCAACATTGAAAACCTGAAAGGACTGGACAGCCGTTTTGTCGTAGTATGGGACTGATGAGAAGTGCGCATATACGATCTCGCACGCGGGATGAGAACCCAGAACCTTCGATCTCGCACGCGAACACTTAACCTCTAGACAGCGTTGGATTATCAATATGACATTTAGATTTTATGAAATGTTTATCTTTAGTAGTAAATACTGTTTTATGTTACATGTTAGTGTTATATTTTGGGAAAACGCTAATTTGCTACGACTAGAAACCTCTATTTGGTATTGGCAGTTAGAGCGGTGTCCTATTTCACGTCTTTGCCTACTAATCAATGAACAACAATCAAGGCCTTAATGCTTATTGGTCGTCTAGCCCATTCTAACCCAGTAGCCAATCTGAAGACATAGACGGGAAGCAGATTAGTTCTCTATTATACTCAATTCAGCTATAATTCGAAATGCCTTGGACAAAACACTCGAAATGAGAAATCACAATATAGGTACTATCGCATCATAAGTGGCAGAAATCAGAGCAAACAGAGCATCATTAATTAACAATAATTAAAGAATAGTAAAAGATAACGACGGTCAATGAATTCACTAAAAGCTTACAATAATAGGAATATAGAAATGAGATAATAAAGCTATTTGTTAGCTATACAATGAAGATAAACAATAACAATTCAAGAAAATAGCTCTGAAAGTTTCAACTCTTCTAATATTCGTCCTGTCAGTTAGCTCGATATGACACAAAATATGGATGCATCTTTATTGATTATTATGTTTCTTTCATCTCTATCCTTAATTATTCATTTTATTGGTAAGCAAAGATGGATAGTGGCTAGCAGCGGAATCCAGTTTGACGCACGTTTCGTCCTATTTGGGACTCTTCAGCTGGATGTACCTACATCTCAGAGTTGATGTTCACTCTGTGACTCGAACCCAGTACCTTTCGCTTCAAACACCATCGCGTTATCCACTCGGCCACTGAGTCATGATAACCACTTGTTTGTGTGATGGGGTGAAGTTGAAATTTACTTAGTATTTTTTGTTTGCATCTTCCCGTTGATATGCCAATTAGAGACTGACCAGTTGCAGTCCTAAAAACATCAATGGGAAGATCCAAACAAACAATACTAAGTAAATATTCATTTTATTATCAGATAAATTGCTGTCGATGTTAAAATAATTCGCATATAAATGATAACCCTGATCAACTAATATATCTATTAGTCAATAGCTCTATGTTTCTGCCTTCCAATTTATATTCAACTGAGATTTCTTTTCTTCGGTGTGGGGGGGGAGTGGTGGATACCTGTAAACGAATCATCAATTCAACCAGTTTGGTAACTTATATATCAATCAGGTGGTACATATAAATAGGCACATAAAACTGTTCAGTGCAAGATCTTAATGATTGAAGTGTTTGACTTTTATCAACTAGGTCACATGTTGTAACTCTATTCTACCTATTTTTATTTGCAAAATAACTTAGTATCTTTGACCTTTACACAAATCAACCGTTACAACCTAATATATATATATATATATACTCGGTTAACGAGTTATCCGAAGACTATAATGCGAAATTTGGAGTAGTTTAAATATAAATAATGCTATGAATACAGTCATTGCGATTTGCCTTATTTTTCAGTTATTTCATTTCTATATTTCAGATGTTGTAAGTTTTCTTACCCAGTGTTTGTATAGTTTGGAAAATAAATAAACAAATAAACCGTATTAATTATCAGAAGGGGTTTTGTGGAGATTTAGTATTTTCATAGTTGAAAGCGTGAATCAATTGAAGCTAGACCACCATCGAAAACCTGTAAGCACTGGACAGCCGCTTCGTCCTATTATGGGACTCCAGCATTGCGCATCCACGATCCCGCCTCTCGAGCGAGATTCGAATTCAGGACCTACCAGCTTCGCGTAGGAACACTTAAGCGATAGACCACTGAGCTGGCATCCAACGGTGTTAATGTCTAACTTCCACTGATCCCCGAAGTTGAGCAACCGTCCAGCTCAGAGAACAAACCAACATAAAAATCACCCACCTGAGCTACAAATCTTCTCCACCATCTGAAAACCGTTGACCAATTTTCTCCAGTGAGTTGATATCTCACAACAGGCGTGGTTTGAACTCCACTGGTCACTGGGTTCGAATCTCGCGAGTTCGTGATCGTGGATGCGCACTGCTGAGGAGTGCCATAATAGGACGAAACGGCCGTTCACTGCCTCCAGGTTTTCCATCTTGGTCTAGCTTCAATTGACTCACGCTTTCAACTATGAAAATAAACTGTGCTCATTTAATCTTGAGAAATTTATTACTTCTTGTATTCATAAAGTATTCTTTTTAGAAAATAAGGAAAATAGTCTTTTGTCAGCAGTAAGACACTGGGAAATATCGTAGAACCTGTAATATATATGTCCATTCGATCAGATTGATACATCACATCAGGATGGAGAGATAAAATCAGAAAGATGAACATACTAGTATAGTAATAGAAGTTTTTATATTAGTCGTAGTAAAGATTATTAGTCATGGTAAAGTTGATTTGAGAAGAAAGAATTAATTCATGGAATTAAATATAATACATAGTTTTGAAACCCGGAATCTTGGGGTATGGATCTGTGCTGTTGGAGTGATCTTGTGACATTTCGTGTAACATATCTAAATATTAATGGCGTCAACCGCCCGAACCCCACGCTGGTATTCGACGCTTACTAACACAGATTAAACTTACTGTCAATATTTTCATTGGCTGATATTGCATTTTGGTTTGTTTATCTTCAGCTTTGTTCTAACTACACTAGTCATTATTACACATTGAGGTAGTTGATTGTCAGTCGTACGTAACACATGTCCTTACCGTCTCAGCCGATACAGGTTTACTATCTTATTAGTCTATTTACCATTCCTACCTAGTGCTCTGCGGCTAACCTTAGAATAGCTAACTCAATAGTTCCAAATTACAAAATCAATGTTTCAAAGTGATCAAATACTGATAACCTACAAAAATCCTCTGTTTTTAGAGAATGCATTTAATTGAAATAAAAAAGAAAAACGAAACTGCTTGCAGCATATTTTAACTGGCAGCATGAAATCTCTCCTACTCTGCGATCGGGAGGGCGCCTTCTTCATTATGTTCTTATTTTATTATCATTTTAAAGAGAACAAAAACAAAGGTTGATGCAAATAAATATGAATTCATCTTATTACGCTAGGTTCTCATCAACTGCTTACTATCTATAATCATCTTGGAAATTGACATACCTATAAACACAGATATAATAAGGAGATGAATACGTTTATCATGATGTAGCGAACATTCTAATAAGGTTATTAAGGTCATCAAAATTTTGTTTCAGATGAGAGGGAAAGTTTCGGAACATTGAACAAGTGACTAAAACTCACAGAATTAACAAACATTAGATGAATGAGTAATGAAGTAACCGGAAATAGATTATTAGTAATAAAGATTGTTACTAGTTGAAATCAGTCACTTTCAATCAGTTGCTGTATACAAATTTATCTGCCAAGACAGTTTCATTGGTGGAACAGAAAGAAGAGGGCGTATTCCAAAACGTCTAAGATCAAGGGGATTAAAAGCATTCGGTAGTGCAATCTCGAGAAATCTCCTTGGTATAGAACATCAAGTGGATACATTAAAGTCTTTCAAGGAGACAAATACACAACTGAATTCCAATCTTTTGAAATTTGCGGGAGCTAAAGCGATCAAACGTATAAAACCAGATCTATATGTTGAAAAACAAACAGTAATAAATCTTGTTTTGCTCTGGTAACATTACATTGACTGACTTCAACTCATTCTTGTTCCCGGTTACTTCATTACACAATCATCTAATGTTTGTTGACACTGTGAGTTCCAGTCACTAGTTCAATGTTCTGAAACTTTCCCTCCCATAATTTACTTATCTAAAACGAAATATTGATGACCTTATTAACCCTATTGGAATGTTTGCTACATCATGGTAAATGTATTCATCTCTAATCACGTCTGCGTTTATAAGTATGTCAATTTCCAAGATGACTGTCATTTTAAAATAATATAGATGGTAAGCAGTTGATGAGAACCTAGCGTAATAAGATGAATTCATATTACAGATCAGAAGGGGTTTTGTGGAGAATTTAGTATTTTCATAGTTAAAATCATAAGTCAATTGAAGCTAGACCACCATAGAAAATCTGGAAGCACTGGACTGCCGTTTCGTCCTATTATGGGACATGGATGCACACTGCTGAGGAGTCCCATAATAGGACGAACCGGCCACCCAGGTTTTCATTGGTGATCTAGCTTCAATTGACTCATGATTTCAACTATGAAAATACTGAATTCATATTAATTTGCATCAACGTTTTTGTTTGCCCTTTAAAATAAGAAAGAAAGTTATATATAGGGAATTTGTTATTTTATTTCTACGCAATATGGATTCTAACTTCTCAACTTAACTTCTTTTATTTTCAGATCGTTACACAAATTAGTGTATCACTTCTTCGACATTCCGATATATTACCAGCTGATAAAGTATTCTACGAAGCTGGTATTGATTGTCGTCAAGTTGGATGGAATAATATGGCTTTTGTATTTTTAAATCGTTATTTAGATCTAGTTGAAGCTATTGAAGATCCGGAAAATTCATCTAATTCTATAGACAGTTCAGACTTCCAAGTGAGTGTTGTATGTATGTATATATGTTGTGTAGTAATGTGTATGACTTTCATAGGGATTTCAGTACTGGTTTTAATATTGAATTTATATAGTTTTCGGATACGTTACGTAGTTAGATAAATCAATCCAAACAAAATTCTACTCTATGTGTTTTTACTATAATTTAATTTTAAATGACAGCACAAAAGCTGACGAACACTGTTTAACGAATATAAGAGAAGTCGGTGGATTTGAATATAATGGATGGTAGTTAAGATTTGAATGGCTTACTATTAAGTTTCAGCTCCGATTTCGTACATCAACCCAGTTAGCAGTGTATTAAGCATATTGCGTACCCATGATCCAACCTGGATTGAACCCATGCCTTTCCTGTACCATGCTAAGCAACATGTTACTGCAAAACTACTAAGTTTATATCCCTCAGTCATATTTTCAATTTCATTCAGTTTAGAATACGGTATGTTCAATGTAGATCGTTAGTTCACAGCTTTAATGATCTAGCATCCCATAACTTTCCACAATTTATTCCAGCTCTGGAGTTGTTAGTGTATGTAAGTATTTACCATAACTGATTGTCACGTATGAGTACTCTTTCAAGTACGATTGATGGTCACCTTCCCCTAGTATTTGCTATCATACGTTTTCATCATGCCTTCGAGCTGACAAATTAAACCGCTGGCTTTATTAGAAATAGGGCAGACATTTTTTTAGTTCACGTTCCTTATGCTAACACACGCACATACCCTTTGTATATACCTACATATATAAAATGCACAAGCCGTGTCATGCAATTCATATACGTAAGAATATACTTTGCATAACTCTGAAGATTTTAATAGGCCCTGAATATGGAACTCGAATATTCCAGTTTATAAATAAGTGGTAGATTTGTCTAATCTTTGTTGAACACCAAAATTAACGAACAAGGTTATCCTCACTACTCAGAAGTATCATGTAAAGGCTTTGAGTCTGATTTTTCTGTCAAATAAGAACAACAAAGATGTAGAGTGAATGGATTTAGCATATAACCCTGTTTGTTGTATAATTTTTAATTAATCAGTATCTGACTTCTTTTTTATCAGATGATACTGATGCTAATGAAATGTATATCCTACTTGACTTTATATGTGTTCTGTCACCCTAACACATCCAGAGTAAAGGTATATTAAAAGCCGCATACAAAAGTGATTTTGATACATATATTTTAAACATCCTTTCATACAAACAGATGATGAGAGTTGTGAACCGTAAAAGACGAAAAAGGTCTACTCAATTTAATTGAAATGTAACTCAACGTTTCCAGGCATCAAAGACACAAACAGATGTACAGACACGTAAGTACTATCATATATACATACTCAAAGTTTCATATACAGATGATAGAATGACTTGGAAGATTGGGATACTTTATCTATCCAAAACAACAGGACAAACCGCATAGGTCTGTAACCAAATAGAACCTGATACACTTAATGCTTAATGCTCTTTATCAACCGATTATATGTTTACAGTATCTTAATAAATTTTATTTCTCTATTTCATTCTCCATTGTATATATTCATTTAGGGTACTGATATACCTATAGAAGTACCTATTCCAGAAAATCTTTATACAACTAAGAAAGAACATGAATCAATACGTGAATGGATATTAACTATATCAATGGATCATAAACTTGATCAAACATTACCAAAAGATGAAAGAGGTGTTTATATAGCTTCATTAAATTCATCTAATACTGGTTTATTATCATTACCATGTATTATTACAGGTTATCCTATACTTAGAAATGGTATTCTATTTGAACCATCTAAAAAAGGTGCTATTCAAATAAATTGGAATAAATTTTTATATATAACAAAAATGACTAAATCAATTGAATGTTTAAATGTAAAAGAATTTATTGAACAATGGTGTGGTATTCCTTCATCTAATGAAATATAATATTATATCTATATATGTATCAGATCTTTTAACCCCTTTCAAATATTACACCCCTTTAAATGTGTTCTTTTTTTTGGAGGGGGGGGGTCAAATTGAAACTTATACCCTTTGTGTACATTCAAAATAGATTTTATTCAACGAAAAATTTCGATTTTGTATTTGTTTTTCTTTATATAGGTAAGTTATTTTTAAACAATTGCTTCTTTATGTTTAATTTTCCCTTTCTTTTTATTGTAAAAGACTACATTTTCATTAACAAACAAAAAATAGATAACAAATACAAAAAAATTTTTTAGAAGGGGGTTCTTGTGGAGATTTTTATAATAATTTTATAGTTGAAATCATGATTTTATTGAAGCTAGACCACCAGGGAAAAAGTGGAAACACTGGACGGCCGTTTCGTTCTATTGTAGGACTTCTCAGCAATGCTCATCCACGATCCCGTCTCGCGAGATTCGAACCTAGGACCTGTCAGTCTTACGCGCGACCGCTTAACCGATAGACCACTGAGCCGGTATCCAACGGTGTTAATATCTAACCTCAACCAATCCACGAAATCGCGCGACCATCTTTCAGTGTACCGAGGTAGATACTTGTCTCTACATGACATGGATTAGCTCCACTGGTCACGACTTCACACTAGAACTCCAGGAATTACCTCATGGAGCCAGTCATTAATGAGTATATGATCATTATCAGAAGGGTTTTTCGTGGAGATTTTAGTAATTTCATGTGGTTGAAATCATGAATCAATTGAAGCTAGACCACCATGGAAAACATGGAAGCACTGGATGACCGTTTCATTCTATTGTGAGACTCCTTAGCAGTACGCATCATTGATCAGGCCTTGCCAGGTTCGAGCCCAGGAACTATCAGTCTCCCGCCCGAGCGCTTAATCTCTAGACCACTGAACTGGCATCCATTAGTGTTAATGTCTAAATTCAACCAATCCACGAAATTGAGCGACACATTCACCATTGTCTTCAGTGATTTACTATCTCACAATAGATCTGGTTGAACTCCACTAGTCACTGCTTCTCACTAGAACTCCAGGAAATACCTCTTGAAGCCAGTCATTAGTGAGCATATGATGTTGTTGTTTTTTGAATTCTCTTAGATTGAATATTTAAGTAATATATAATGTAATAAATAAATTTGATTTATACAATTATGATTGATTATTCTACTGTTTCACAATTAGATTAAATTATAAAAATTAGTTCACAATTTATTAGTCTACTGATAAATAATATGTGAAAGTAGTTATATTAAGATCATTAGTTGAATTGTTTTGTTAGAATAAATTATAAGTTGTTATGATTTAATTAGTTAGATTCCCTGTCAAAAGGTCAAAGAGAAGTTCAGAGTAACGTTTATTATCAGTCAGAATAGTTAGTTCCATTGTATCATTTCTGGCAGATGTCCCGACGACATCATCGTCGTTGGAGTACAAAATGAATTTTACAAAAAAAAACTTTATGACATTAGGGAAACAAGGCTTTCTAACAAAATAATAGTAGATCATTTTAACGCTCACATCTGTAAGCTAAATCAAGCTGAAAAATACTTCATTGTGCCAGAGGGCAGTTTACAAGTCGGATGTACTTCTATCTGACTGATCTCGATCGCTGATTGTCACAGTTTATAAAAACGATAAGAATCTTCTTGTGATGACCATAAACTAGTCAGCTTGACTAACAATGTCTGAAATATTTGTATCTATTATCACCTGACGCTTAACTAGAGCTCGTTACAAGCGAACTTAGGAACATCAAGATGGTTTCATACGTGAGCGTTCATGTATGCACTGAATATTCACTTTCCATCGGGTTTTGGAACACAAGCACACTTACTGGGAACAATTATATTTGTATTTCTTGACACCTAGGACATTTGACATTGTCTACTGACAGTTTTTGTTAGAGTTTATCGCTGAAAGATGTACCAAAGAGGTACATTAACCTTGTGAAGGTTCTCTACCCAGACACTGCTGGTCGAGTCAGAGCTTATGGCGAAGTTTATCAGAGTTGTCTACCTCAAGTGAATTGCATCAAAGTTTTCCACTGTCAACCTTTTTATTTAACTTCATCTTAAACGTCCTACTAGAAATAAAACTTCTTGGTGAGACTGTAACTGATGGATGAACTAATGAAATTAAGGAAAGCATGTCTTGGCTGAAAGGTATGTTCGCATTATAGCTGGTGTTTGTTGATGATGCAAACCCTAACAATTATTTCTAAACCTAACTTCTTACTCTCACTCTTTATTTCAGTTCCTCACACTAACTTATATTCCTCTTTTGATCTCAGAAAGTCGTTGAATTTTCTAAAAGTCACTATATATAACCTTTTAAGTGTTATCTATGTGTATTTAAAGCGGGTATTAACGATCCAGATAATTCTTCACGATCGAAACCGTATAGTCCATTACATACAAACCCATGATTCTCCAGTTAACTGCTGTACGTTGACCAAGTTGAATCGAACATTATGGTTTTAACATAATATGTTTTACGTCTTTAAATATTATAATAAACGACATGAATTCAAATTCCAAGTGAAGAGAAAGGAAACTCGTTCAGTTACACCGAATTTTGTTGTTAATTACATAAAGAATGACGAAACCCATCCATAAAAATTATCACTAGCTAATGTCGCTCCGTTTATTCGTCCAAGGTATTCATCAACTATTTAAATAAGGTATCTTAGTGCTGATTTTGAAGCTCGATCACTGTATTCATCGACTCAAACTTAAAAGGGGTTGTGACTTACAGCTATCCGTTCGTTTTAGACAGTCTCTTTCCGGGGTCGATTATAACTTGCCTTCTCAGTAAAGTTTTGTGTTACTAAAATCTAGACTAAACTTTCATTCTAATGTTGGATATCGTAATTGGACTGGATTAGAGAGGGCTGTTACATTTAATTATAAGTCTGATCGTGATTGATTTACTTTTTCAGTGATTTCGGATCAAATAATATGGCTGACTAAACGCTATTTGAGTAATTTGCTACTCTAATATACGTGGTTATGACTGAGAATATACATTTATTCCTACTTTTTGTTTTTTTTGTGTTGAAATATATTACCTATCATAAATGATGAGTAACATCGCCTTGTTGCGTCGAACCATTAATTCTATCAGCTTATACTTCTCTTTTGACCAATTGGTTCGTTATTTCATTAGAAAAAACATTTTTCAATCTTTCATGGTTTGGTTACTTTGTGCTAGTCATTATCTGTAGCTTGATTCATCTTAAACGGCCTCACCGTTTTCAAGACCTGTAATCAACTTTACTTTCGTGAAATTTAGCAATTCCTGTTCGCAAAAGCTGTATGCTGCACCATTCGTTTTTGCAAGTTTCAAATATTTAATTTTTCTTTATTCACACCTAAGCATATTTACTATCATCCATAGACCTCACGACTAAAAATGTATACTTTCAATGTGCATACTACTTTTTGTTATGTAACTAGACTCTCAGACAAACCTCACCATTTCGTTTTAAGGCTCCACACGTAACTAAGCCATTGGGTTGAAAATGTCGACCAAATTATATGCTGAGGTTTTTCGAATATTCACGCGCTTGCTGTGAGATATGTAGATCCTATTTACTAATCCTGCTGGGGTTCATGGATATGCATGGACTGAAAATTAATGAACAAAGGTGAATTTCAAAAGTAATACAAAGATATAAATCATTTTATTGGTTAAATCGCTCCATACTGTAGATTACTCATTGTTAAATTAAAACAATGTAGATATTTTCATTAATCCAAAGATTTTGGAATGGTTGAATGTACAATCGTTCTAACTATTTGTTTATCGTAAATGTATCCTCTCATTTTTTCAGCTAAATAAAATATCACTAGACCAATTGATAAATATTGAACCCATGCAAATTTGATGGTATACCAAAATCCTGGATTAGTACTATAAAACAATGTTAATAATCATATGTTATACAAGGAATTACAAAATGTATTAACTAGAAATGATGTATTATGGCAAAGTTGGAGAAATTTAAGTGATTAATGTTTTGAAACTGATCACCAGCAAATCATCTTTACTGCTACTCATCAGCTGAAAGTCCCTCTGTGATGTTAGAAAATTTATACTTTTTAAAATATTACTTATATGTTCATTCGATTTCCATTTGTCGATGATTGCAATCAGATATTTCTAATCCCATTGACTTTGATCGAATCACTTAAAAACTGATTCTACCGTGTAGAAGTATAACCTTTTATCATTTCGGTCAGTTAGTTTTTAATTGTATACTGTAAATCTAAGCCATTGAAATGATATGTTTTTCTGTTACCGTTCAGTCAATCAAGTAAAAATCATAATCAAAACTTTTCATCAGATATCTTATTCATTAACATAATAAATAATTTACCTGTAACACAAATTTTCCCAGTGGAACTAAATGGACGTCATAAGTGAAAATTATATACATGGAATGGATTTCATAAAAATTATACATCTTATTCATAAGTATCGTTCAGAGTTGAATCTAGTTGAAGAAACTTTCTGTCAGTATATCTCAAACATAAACATGATGGAGAAACTAGGGGTAATTTTCATGATCATAATCTTTCTGAAATGGGTTATTTATTTTCTAGAACTTGGTTGTTTCTCAGCCAAAATTGTTAAGGCGGAATTCAAACAGTAGTTGCTCTCAGTATCCAAAAATTTTGCTTGGGATTATTTATTCAATAAACGTCAACTGACTCTAAACAAAATATGCTAATCATACTTACTACCTAACGATTAAAAATTGATAATGAATTTACAGACTCATAAAAACTAAACACATGCAAAATTTAGGACTCTCATATTCTGAAACAACATAGAAGAAAAGAAGCAACAACAATGGATATATATTGAGGTAGGAGATTAATTGTGAAAGATTTGGTTTGTCTTTTGTATTATGTCATCATACATTCAAGAGGAGTTCTGTACCACAGATTACTGATCTATAGATTTTCAAGTAAAAAAAGCGAGTACTTCAGCAAAACTTTCGAAAGACAGGAATGTCAATATGCGTGGAGACTAATATTCGTGGAGACGAATAAACTATTCATAACATCACTAACTCACTTAATATGTGAGGAAATATCGTCCTATAACATGAGTTGATTTGATTTAGAAACCTCAATCAATAGGCAAGAAACAAAACTGTTATGAAACGATACATTATCCTAATGAATAACATTTTAATATTTTAGACAATAGGGTAACGCATACAAAAGTAAAATATGAAAGGTAATATGAATAACACAAAATAAACGAAGTGCAAATGTACATATTTAAAAATGAGAAAAATTACACGTATCTTTGGTAATATGGCTGATCGACACTATAAACTATTGATCTACGGTACACAATAAGAATCATTATGGACTGACATGTGATTGAACAGAAACTTATCAAATTATATGATACACAGAGATTTTTCGATCAAACTCCTAGGGTGTAAGTTCGAAAATCAGTTATCCACTGAGTCAATAATCAATATTCATCTTAATGCTATACTGTATAATTTGATTATCAATAACTATAAGTTATCAGTAACAAGTAGTTTGAATTAATGAAATCTGTTTCATTTCTTGTCCAGTCGAACGCTTCAGAGTACATTGGTAATCGGTTCGAATAGTATAACATTTAACATTTGATTTTGGTTTTAAATATGAAGACTGTTTACAACGATAATCATTTTACTCAGTTTGAAGTTCAGTTCATTAAAAAATTAGGACCTATTTTGAACGTGTGTTGGTTCATTTGCCCTACTGTGATATCAACACAATGCTATGAAGTTTGCAAAATGAAAGCCAAAGTGCAAGTATAGTATTAGTATGGGCAAAAAGTAAAAGATAAGTAAAGATTGGTTTAGGAAGAACGGATAAATTAGAGAAATAAAATGTGCAAAATAGTCCTGAAATCCAAGATTTAGAGTGCTTTTGAGAAAAGTCATTATAAGTCATGAAACACTGTTTCTTTGGATGAACTGTCATTAGAAAACTCAACCTTTCTAGAAAACCCTGGATAGACAGAAAATCCTGTGTCTTTGTATAAGAACTGAACATCTTCCAGTCTACTCTTATTTTCCTCTAGCATTAGATATTAGAGTATGATTAATACATGTCTTAGACAACTTAGTCAATTAAAGTTTAAATGGTGATCAACGATTTTACGGTGTTTATATAGAAACACTCATCAACCTTAGCATTGGTCATTCTGATAGAAAGTGTGATATTCCATAGAGTTACTCTTGAAGTTGATTTAAGTAGGTTATCTGTTTTTAAAGCTTAACATATTTCCAACTCTGATCAACAAGTGATACGCTAATATTATTTCAAGCTAATTTAAATTAGATCATATTTCTGGTGCTAAGGCATAGGAAATGTTTATACTGTAGAGGATGACGAAACTATCTAATTGCCTAAACGAAAGTAGATGGAATGGGCCCGAAATCAGGACTTAGTGGTCGCAAGTTGAAAGCGTTAAACACTAAGTCATCTTTCAGAGCTTTAGTCCAGTGAGCCTTTGTTAAACAGTGTATGTTACTCACTCATAATATTTTGAATTAGGTACCATCACACTTACCTGATTCTTAGAGAGGAAAAGTACACAGAGAGTTCTATGTCAAAAGTACTTGAAAGACTTTCACGTATTATAGGTACACTTATTCTATCTTCAAGTAAGTAGTATCCTAAAAAATTAAAAAATTAATGATCTGGTAGATGACTCACCACTTCTCGAGATGTTTGATGATAGCTCAAAGATTTTTCTTGGAATTGTTTTGGTTTCATAATAAGTGCTAGTCTACACCATAATTTCATTGCAAAACATGAACTTACTTTTGCAAAAGAGTATTTTCGAAAGCATAAAAAGTCCCCAGAATATAGAAATCCATTGGTAGGCGACCGAAAAACTTTGGAAATAAACATTGGAACCTTGTCTTGTCTATTGTAAAAACGCTGTATAAAATATTAGCTGAAATTATTATCTTGTGCATATACCAACGAAGTAACATCAACAAATAGTACAACGGTGAGACTAATTATTTTTTCTGATGGGGACATAGGAAACTTAATATAAATATTGATCGCCTCTTCCTCATGAAGGTTTCTATTTTTAGAATTGTAGAAACTAATTTGGGGTAGCCTAAGCGAAGATTGCAGTAAATGGTTTGTTTCCTGATGTGGTATGCTGCCATAATAAAGTAAGCCATCGCTCTTTTGAAGAAAAAGTAGCATGTTTCCGTCGAACGATACCAGGGGTTTTTCTGGAAAAGTATAAGAAGTTTCGTACATGACTAAATAAATAGTAGTATGATATTCATAATTTTACAATCTGCTTACAGCCAGTTATATACGAAATGATCCATGGTACTAAAGTAATGATAAGAACCACGAAAGTGTCGAAAGCAAATGCTAGTGATGATACTCCAGCATAATAACGTCGCAATTCACACAACTTGTAAACCTTCATGTTTCGACTTTTATAAGACACATAGTAACAACTTTGAATGATGCGTTTAAACAAACTTTCGGTATGATGATGAAATGTGCATAGTTTGTTAAATCTGATTGTTATCCTGAAAAATAACTCGAGAAACCCCCTCTTTTAGTTTGAAAGGCGTCACAAAATACTGTCATATTACCCAAGGGGTTGTGTTTTAACAGTTTAAATCTCTACTGAAAAAGATTAGAACCTGAACTTCTTTGATCTCCAAAATATAAGAGCTCTATTCATTCCTCACGATGAAATTCAGGATTCTCTTGTGTGGAATCGTTGATTACTCTCCGGACAGAAGAGAGTTTTTGGTGAATGGATGTTTCTTTCCTTCATTTACAAGAAATTTGAAGTCAATCATTGATATTCAGAAGATTAAAGAAAATTTTTATTTCAGAGCTGTACGAGGCAGTAGTAAAGCCTAACTTGGATGAACTAGCAGAATGTTTCAACATTATGTCATAAACTTTAGGGTTTCACATTTCTCTGACTTTCGGTTTGAAAATACTAACACTTATGGTGTCAGTCATCCAGTCATTAAGCTTTTACACATTCCTCTTCAATGTGACACTTCATAGAATGATTCGTTAGAAGTAGATATAAGATTGAGAGATTCATACTTATCATGAGCTACCATATGGCGATGTCTTAATCAAGAATTACGAAACAGACAACAGCATTCATCTAATTTTATTGACTACATAACTTAACCAACTCCGCCTGTAGCTCCTCCAGAGGCTACTGCCGGTCCCAAGCCCGGGTAAAGGAGGAGGGTTGGGCATGGGGTTAGCGACCCCATCCCGTAGAAAATCAACTAGCTAAAAAAACGCTAACCAGAAAAAATCATTCAAACCATTCAAACTCTGCCCTGGGAGTAGAAGGAAAAATGACGTCTCATGATGAAAGCCGAGTTCATTCGGAAGTCATGAGGCCGATGCACCTTCTTACAACCAGAGCGACAATTTTTATAGGTACATGGAATGTCCGGACAATGTGGGAGACCGGCAGAGTCTTCCAAATTTCTGCGGAAATGAGGAAATACAACCTGGAAGTGCTTGGAATCAGTGAAACACATTGGACGCAGGTTGGACAACAACGACTGTCTTCAGGAGAACTTCTGTTATACTCCGGTCATGAAGAAGAAAATGCCCCACATACACAAGGAGTTGCATTGATGCTGTCCAGAAAAGCACAAAATGCACTTATAGGATGGGAATCTCATGGACCGAGGATCATCAAAGCCTCCTTCAGAACAAAGAGAGAGGGCATTACAATGAACATCATCCAATGCTATGCGCCGACCAACGACTACGATGAAGACGCTAAAAACCAATTCTACGATAGGCTGCAGTCAATCTTCGAGAAGTGCCCAACCAAGGACCTGACCATTCTAATGGGAGATTTCAATGCCAAGGTTGGAAAGGACAACACTGGATACGAAGACGTCATGGGACAATATGGACTGGGAGGAAGGAACGAAAACGGTGAGAGATTTGCAAACCTATGTGCCTTCAATAAACTGGTCATAGGCGGCACCATATTCCCACACAAAAACATACACAAAGCCACTTGGATTTCACCGGATCACACTACACAAAATCAAATCGACCATGTCTGCATCAACAAAATGTTCAGGAGGACGATGGAGGATGTGAGAATCAGAAGAGGAGCTGATATAGCATCCGATCACCATTTGCTGGTCGCCAAGATGAAACTAAAATTCAAGAGGCACTGGACAATGGCGCGGACAACATCACAAAAGTTTAACACGGCCTTTCTTCGAGATGCTGACAAACTCAACGAATTTAACATAGCCCTCAGCAACAGGTTCGAGGCCTTTCATGACCTACTCAATGGAGAGGGAACCACCATAGAGAGCAGCTGGAAAGATATCAAGGAGGCAATCGTTTCAACATGTCAGGAGGTTCTGGGCCAAAAGAAGCACCATCACAAGGAATGGATCACTGTTGGTACACTGGATAAGATTGAAGCAAGGAGGAACAAGAAGGCAGCAATCAACACCAGCCGAACCAGAGCGGAAAAAGCCAATACACAAGCCGAATACACAGAGGCAAACAAGCAAGTGAAGAGGAGCATCAGGACCGACAAACGTAAATATGTGGAAGATTTAGCGATGACAGCGGAAAAGGCTGCAAGAGAGGGAAACATGAGACAACTGTATGATACAACAAAGAAACTTGCTGGAAATTACCGTCAACCAGAAAGACCAGTGAAAAACAAGGAAGGCAAAGTAATCAACGATATTGAAGAACAATGAAACAGGTGGGTAGAACACTTCAAGGAACTCTTGAATCGACCAGCTCCACTGAACCCACCCAACATCGAAGCAGCACCCACAGACCTCCCAATCGATATTGGCCCACCAACAATTGAAGAGATCAGCATGGCCATTAGACAAATCAAGAGTGGCAAAGCAGCGGGACCAGACAACATCCCGGCGGAGGCACTGAAAGCAAATGTAACAGCAACTGCCAAGATACTCCACATCCTCTTCGGTAAGATTTGGGACGAAGAACATGAACCAACAGATTGGAAAGAAGGACTTCTCATCAAGATACCAAAGAAAGGCGATCTGAGCAAGTGCGACAACTACAGGGGCATCACTCTCCTCTCAATACCAGGAAAAGTCTTCAACAGAGTATTGTTAAACAGGATGAAGGATTCCGTAGATGCCCAACTTCGAGATCAACAAGCTGGATTTCGTAAGGATAGATCGTGCACAGATCAAATCGCAACTCTGCAGATCATTGTGGAACAATCAATCGAATGGAACTCATCACTCTACATCAACTTTATCGACTACGGCGTGCCTGAGAAGATAGTCAACATCATACGGAACTCATATGATGGACTAAATTGCCAAATCGTCCACGGAGGACAACTCACCGACTCGTTCGAGGTAAAGACCGGTGTTAGGCAAGGTTGCCTACTCTCACCCTTTCTCTTTCTCCTGGTGATCGACTGGATTATGAAGACGTCAACATCTGGAGGAATGCACGGGATACAGTGGACAGGCAGGATGCAGCTTGACGATTTAGACTTCGCGGATGATCTGGCTCTTCTATCACAAACGCAACAACAAATGCAGGAGAAAACGACCAGTGTAGCAGCAGCCTCAGCAGCAGTAGGTCTCAATATAAACAAAGGGAAAAGCAAGACTCTCCGATACAATACAATATGCACCAATCCAATTACACTTGACGGAGAAGCTTTGGAGGTGTGGAAATCTTTACATATCTGGGCAGCATCATTGATGAACACGGTGGATCAGATGCAGATGTGAGGGCGCGGATCGGCAAAGCAAGAGCAGCATACCTACAACTGAAAAACATCTGGAGCTCAAAACAATTGTCAACCAACACCAAGGTTAGAATTTTCAATACAAATGTCAAGACAGTTCTTCTGTATGGGGCAGAGACGTGGAGAACTACGAAAGCCATTATCCAGAAGATACAAGTGTTTATTAACAGCTGTCTACGCAAGATACTTCGGATCCGATGGCCAGACACTATCAGCAACAAGTTACTGTGGGAGACAACAAACCAGATTCCAGCGGAGGAAGAAATCAGGAAGAAGCGCTGGAAGTGGATTGGGCACACTTTGAGGAAATCACCCAATTGTGTCACAAGACAAGCCCTCACATGGAATCCTGAAGGTCGAAGGAGAAGAGGAAGACCAAAGAACACATTACGCCGAGAAATAGAGACAGACATGAGAAGAACGAACAAGAACTGGAAAGAACTAGAAAAGAAGGCCCAGGACAGAGTGGGTTGGAGAAAGCTGGTCGGCGGCCTATGCTCCATTGGGAGTAACAGGCGAAAGTAAGTAAGTAAGTACATAACTTAACCTGAGCTAGTGCCTTGTATCAAAGTAACAAGCCTTTATGCATTGAAGACCAGCACTATTGGATTAAGATTTCAGTAATCATAGGGATCTGCCTGTTGTTAATCGAAACAACAAGGATGTAATTTATTCAAAATCTTAGGCCAGCACTTCTAGTTGTGATTTTCAAATTTCCTTGTTGATGGTTTCTATGTGCTCACTGAGAAACTTAACAATTTTTTCTAATGATCGCCTCTTTTGCCTCAAAAATCTGTATCCAAGGTATAATGGTTACTTTTAAGAAAAAAGGCATTGTATTTATCCTTTAGAGATGATAATCAAGAGGATAAACTGACACTTCAGGAGAGTCTGATTTGGCTACAAAGTTGGGCAGAGGAAAACGGACTTGCCCTTAACACTTCAAAATCTAAAGTAGTCCATCTGTAACATGTTGCAGACTACAGTTACAACGTAAGCAACTCCCCTCCAGAAGTATCCCGAGATGAATAAAATTTAGGTGTGCTGGTACCATACGATATTAAGTCTTACGCTAACTATGACAAAGATGCTTTTCGATCAAAACTTGCACAGGTAACACTGAAGCTTATTTTTTGGTAAGTTTTACGGAAAAAACTTTCCACATAATCTTCAGCAGTTTTATTAGTCCCTAATTAGAGTACGGAAACATAGTATTTTCTTCCTACTTGCGATGATAAGAGGTATTTGAATTATCGTATAAACTAGGAATCCCAGAAATAGTGAAATTTAATCAATACGTACTACATAAACACGAACGAATGTGTTGTATTTGGAATTAAAAATCAAGCAGTCATCAATACAAAGGAATCATTGGTTCATATAAACACCACATCCGCCACAGCTTAAATTGGAATCTATGTGTAATCGATCGTACGCTTTCTTCTTGATTTCATCCTTTGTCTTTCCGACAGTGTATTGGATAAAGACTTTGTATTATCTAGAATGCACTCGTTAGTATTAGAACTAAAGACCGAAAGTGGAACAGAACCACCTAGGTCCTGCAATTGTACGTAATCATCATGTCGGTTGTGTAGTGAAACCACTGATATCTAAAATTTGCATCATAGAGTTTCCAACATTATCCTCCCCTACGAAATAATTTTGGGTCCTTACGCCGTAGTGTTATAACCAATTTGACGTTCCCAATTTTTATTATCTTCTTATATCACACGCTTCAACTACTGTATGTGAGTATTTGGGGATACACACTGATATATAATTTGAGGTATTACATCATGTGAATTTGACTTGAATAAAAATTTTGATACATATTCTTTTTGTTATTCATATTAGAATACACAGGTAGATATACATTGATGTGTAATTAACACATGCGATTCATCTAGATTTCATTCATCTTCGAAACAATCGAATGGGAAGCATGCATCTGCCTCACACTCATTAGGATAATCTTGGACTTGATTTGAATTTTCTACTTGTGCAAACTTCATATATGTGCAAACTAGTCCTCTGGTTGCTCCGGAAAAACTTGTTATTCCCCCTGATCCATCATACCACGAACTACTCGACACACATTGGTTTGGATAATATCCAACATCTGATACAATAACATCACAAATGTGCCTAGAATTCGACTCATTCGGAATATATTTGTCACACTCACCAGGAATATCACTAGAGATAAATTAATTGTGAGGACCAGTGACATTTGATATGATATTAGAATTTGATTTTTCCGAAATATTTCCCTCAACGTTATTAAGAGCTTCATTAGAGAATAATGGATCATTAGAAAAATCAACAACCACCAAAACTGAATCCGGTTTTTCATCACGATTTGACTCATTCAAGCCGTGCTTCTGGTGAGTCCCTAACACACTTACTTTCTCCTATCTTAAGTTTTGATAATCCCACAATCACATTCATGTCCATAGTTGTGAACTTTCACTGGTGTCAGTGATCCCATCAGTGATCACATCAATGTTACTGATCGCCCATATATGTAATGGATGCATCGACTACACCCAATGTGATATTTTACTAGGGTTACTTGCATAATTTGAAGCTGGGTGAGTGCATAGCTCGTTTAACCACATAGAAGATCTGAGTACATTGTTATTATTAGGTGTTAACCGAGTTAATACTAGGATCAGAGACTATGAGTGTACTATGCATTTCAGTTTGAAGATACAACGGATATTCTAGTGTTACAACTAGCAACCACTAGTATCTTCTATAATCCATCGTTCCCAGCCAGAGGAAATCAGAAGTCAGACGAGAAGAGGTAGGAAAGATATATTTGATACGTTATCAATATATCGAGGAACCTTTACTATAAGCTGGCTATAGAAACGTAGGAGCAGTGTCCCACGCCGAGTTGAAACGTGATCTGATGCGGATGCATGACCGAAAGCCTTCAGTTAAACAAGTCCACTTAAAAAACGTGGTCAGCATCCACTGTCGAACACTTAGAAAGCAATTGATTTTGGGGAATTATTTACAACTACAAGATATAAGGTATTCAGTTATATAACGTGAGAGTAACGATCAATGGAATATCTATATTTCAATTAGTACAATCTGAAGATAAAAACGCGTCAATGGGAATTACTGGAGGCCTATATAATATATGAAGGTAACGAAGTTCGCGATATGTGTGTTAAATTATAAGTTTCCGTCAAAATTATTTCCTCAGAGTAAAGTACATCCGATATACTAGATAGGATGATAATCTATGCATAATACAACCTACAAAAGAACAAGTCGAAAACTTTCTAAACCACGTCGGGACTTTACTGTCAATTAATGTAGATTTCCTCCCGACTATCACTTGCACATCGCAGCCCCCATAAAGCGCGCCAACTGTCATATTGACAATTTTACTAATATTATTTACATTCATACATGAGAAGTGCTACCTCCCATAATTTTATGACCACTGTACCTTATAAAACATCAAACTCGCTGGGTAACCCACTGCAGTGAAGACTGTATCGTCTGTAACAAGTTGATCTCACCTGCAAACTGGCATTCATTACGTAACAGACTGTTATTTGAGGATAAATTATTATTACTTTTTATAGACTGATTAGTAGTCTCTGGTCAGTAAACGCATCCTAAACAGATACACAGCAGTCAGGTTTTCACGAGTTGTAACACCTAGGAAGTGGGAGGATATTCTGAGACGATAACTTCAGTCAAACGGTCGCTAACAGACAACGCAAATTGACCACTGTTTCTTACCAGTAAGATAGGCTTGGCCGGGACAACGTGAGAACCCGCGGTGACGACTAACCCTTTGGAACCCATTAAATGAGACTGTCACCAACCACACCACTAGGGAATACAATACTAGGACGAGATGGCCGTCCAAGGATCCTAGATTTTCAACGATGTCTTGAAGAAGACCGACTCATCATTTCAATGAAATTCAACAATCTGCACAACTCCTTAATGACAAATATACCGCAAGTCGTTTTATATCTTTTCAGTCATACAATGGGAAACAAAAACCGATAGTCTTTGGGTTTTGACAAATGCGACTTCGTTGGAATACAACTTTGGACAGGATATCAGCGTTTGAACATATACCAGCCACTCAATCTTAATAATACCTGTGACAGAACCCACTGTACCTTCTAATATCAGAATTTAAAATAGTGATACTCGTCCACCCAAAACCCTTTAAGATTTGAGGTTGCCCAGAAATCCCATCTGATTGCTTGTATGCTGCCAAAATAACACTTATGCAACGTCAACCGATTGCTTATCAGCGACTAACTGGTTGTTAGGGTATTCATAAAAATATACCCTAAGTTATTCTACTGAGTCTAATTCTATCTTGAACGTCAAATGGTATGCTTTCACATGTTTTCAGACTTTTCACATATTTTCCTATTGGTCATTATTCACAGTCGTCCTAACTATAAATTTCACACGTCGTTTCTTATTGGTCAATACTCACGGTCGTCCTAACTGTATAAATATGCATTGTCTGTAAATAAAATTCATTCTTCTTCTGATCCCACAAACAATTCCCATCTAACTTTTGTGTTCTGATATATTGGAGAACAGTATTGAGGTTGTACTGTGATATCTGGAGTTAGTTAGCCACATCGCGATCCACAACACTGGTTAATCATGGGCTTGCATGTTTTCATGGATCAATTTTACTTATCATCCGCTTGATCTAATGTAAATGGCTACTTTTCGTCTTGTTTGCATTTACTACAGAATATAGGTTTATGGTTCGCGAATTTGAAGTACAAACGTCTGTCAGATGACTATGGGGAGCCAAAACTGTCTTTCGTCATTATTTAATCCTCAGTTTATGTTTCAGTTCAACTTAAAATCGATTAGTAAGACAAATTACAAAGTATCAATTGATTTTATTGCTAAGCTTTGAATAAATTAAACTGAGATGCATTCATCAAAATATCAAACAATCATAAAATCACAGTCCTCACTTGTAATTGATCATTGTTACCCTAACATGCAGGGATAAGCATTATGTATAGAATACATGAGGGAAAAACATATGCTTTTAAAATGATTCCACCAGTATACGGAGAATAATTCATACATGAGTTGATAAGACTAGTAATCAATATAGGGGTTCATATGCACATTACATTACAATTAATGTTTACTCAAAATGCAAACCATTTATTTACACAATATAATGTGCCTGTTAACTATACGAATTATACCTAATATCTTTATCTTGATTCTCAAAATGTAAGTCATCATCAGTACGATTATTATTTTCAGATTTTTGGCTCTGATCAATATTTACCGGGACTCGAATAATTAATGCGGCATCATCAAGGAAAGGATTTTTAGATTGTAGTTCACTTAACCAAAGTCTAATAAGTGTAGAAGGTGCAGGTGATGGGATTTGTGGTAAATTGTATCTTTCTTTTTGACTTTGTTGTTTACAATCTTTTGAATCTGTATGATGAATTTTGTTAGAAACTTCCCAATCATATAATTTTTTTTGATTATCCAAAGCATCTGGTTTAGGTACAACAACTCCAACAGCAAGTATTGTACCCTCACCTTGTTCATGTTGACATAGATTGGATGGTAAAAATTTGTAGACATGACTTTGACGAATTGAAAGCCAACGTTTATCGAATTCTGGTTCACATTTACTTATAAATCTTGTAGAAACATTGTCTTCATTACAATGGTGCAATTCAGTACCAGTTGAACTCACTGTAGGAAGAAGACTCATATGTGGAAAAAGTGAGCGATTCTCATTTTGAGAATTGAAATTATTCAACACTATATTTGAAGTATCATTGGAATAGTTGAAGAATGAAAGGTTGTACGGTTCTGTAAAACGAAAATATATAAAAACGCACATGAAGAACTTAAGATATAAGTAGTGCATTTTTTGATTATTAAATGGAGAACTAATTATTTTACATATTCTGCCCAATAAATACGCGAGCTAAGGTCATATAAACTCTATTTGAACAAATTTTATCCTTTAGAGAATATTTTCTATCTATAGGAACGGATTTGTTTTCAGTGCTAGAAATAGCGTCGGTAGTTAAATTATTCAACCTATCTGTGAGGATCACATGCGTCGACGATCTCATAATTAAATAATTAACAGTCACTGAGACAGAATCATCAATTCCAAAACGCAAACGACGATATAAATTCGATTTTGACACTAATAGTCAGTCAGTCAGTCACAACGTAGAACTTCGTATGTACGTGCATCAGTTCGAGTTTCCATACCGTGTTAGCACAGAGATGCAGTTGTCGATTCAAATCCCATAGTAGAAGTAGTAATAGTAAAAGCATTATGTGAAAGATTAGGGTTTGAAGATGTTATTGAAGGAGTATAATCCAGTTCAAATTTACCACTAATAAAAAAGTTAAACTGTTATCTTAGCCCTGTATGATACTTTTATGGTTTCATTATCTTCATTGAAACACTTTAATTTAGAATTTAAGAGAGAAATATAGAAAATAGATAGAATGATCAGTGGCGCAATGATGTTTAAAGTAATTTTAATGGAATATTTCAGCATAAGTGATGAGGTGTATATTACGTTGGGAATAAATATCGACCGAGTAACCACTAGTAACTAAAATACGGCAGATATTCACTGTTGGAGTCTGGGATTTATCGGAAGGAGGAATATGAAGTCTAAAAACAGTAATTTTCATCATAAAATGGCATTATTCAGTCTGGTTCGATTAATTGATACTTTTAATATCAGAAGGGGGTTTTATGGAGATTTTAGTAATTTTATATAGTTGAGATCATGAGTCAATTGAAGCTAGACCACCATGGAAAACCTGGAGGCACTGGATGGTCGTTTCGTACTTTTGTGGGACTCCTCAGTAGTACGCATCCACGATCCCGCCCAGCGATATTAGAACCCAGGACCTACCAGTCTCGCGCTAGAGCACTAAACGGATAGACCAGTGAGCCGGCATCCAACGGTGTTAATGTCTAACTTCAACCAATCCACGAAATTGAGCAACCATTCACCAATATCTTCAGTGAGTTGATATCTCCCAATCGTGGATATGCACTGCTGAGGAGTCCCACAATAGGAGGAAACGGCCGTCCATTGCTTCCAGGTTTTCCATTATGGTCTAGAAGCAATCGACTCAACTATATGATACTTTTAATCTTTAAAATACCAATATAGAATATAAAGTACTTTTCAAAATTATGTTTTTGTTATGATTGCAGCTGAGTGGATTGGTTTTGACAGTTAGTTGATGAATTTTGAACATTAGTTAAATTATACCATACGGGATTAAAAATGCCAGAAAAATGGTATTAGGCTTAGAGGTGAGTAAAGCAAAGCATGTTCAATGCATAAACTTATTAGACTATAAGCCACATGATAGAATAAAGAGACCGACTGATAATTTAACTCAGACCAACAATAAATTCAGGTTGTTGTTGATTGAACTCACTATCTGTCGTTGTATTTTGTATTTCATGGTGTTGTGATCTGGAAAAGATGCTTACAATCATTAATCTGGGATTTATAGTGTTTGTTGATTGGAGGTCTGAGGACGTGTAGTCAACTGATCGTGTGAATGAATACAGTACAGAAGTTGGTGGTTCATAGAGTTGGTAAGATCACAATAATGTCTATCTCGACCGACTACCTTATATAAAATGATTTTATAATATGAAAAAAAACAAGATCCGTAACGGCAATAGACACCTACCGTCTGCACTATACTTTGGCGCTTGGTTAACTTTCACAGCATTAATTTCTTTTTTTAATCGATCAGCATCGATTTCTGTCCATAAGGTGTAATAAGCAGCCTATCCATAAAGAATAAAGGAGAAAAAAGAGGATTATATCGACACAGTGTTACGACTCCACTTGTCTAGTATCTATAACCACTGCATTTCGCTTAACTTATTCCAGGCCAGAACAAGGATAAAATGAGAACATGATGCATATAAAATGACCGAAACAATGAAAAGTATAGGAGTAAAGACAAGCGTTTATAAAGAATTTTCAAGAGAAACATTACCACACCATTTATCGATACTGATTTTGGGACTATCGAGTAACCAATGCTAAAGTTAGACATCGAGTACTAGGTAGACATGGTAAATCAGTTGAGGTAGTGAATCTTAATCAATTGAGGTGGCTAGGACACGTGTAGCGCATGCCCAACAACCACTTAGATCGACGGGCCATGTTATCTAGTGTAGTAGGCTGGGAGATAGTTAAGGGCGACCTGATCAAAACATATAATTAGTCCGTGAAGTCATTGTCTGTTGGACAGAGTCATATGGGTAGGTACACATGATGTCTTCGGGGTCCGTGAGAATATCGTAATCAATGGTTGGAAATTTCGGATAATATGGAACAAAATCGTCCACAACGGCACAGGTGGGCTCCCTCTTTACCAGTACTTGGATTTTAATTTGCTAAATTACCTTATAGCTCTTTTGCTTCATGTACATATATTTAATACTTCTTGCTGCTACTGACACTATTACTACTTCTACTACTCTAGCATTTTTCTTGATAATTTGATCTCGCTACGCTGATCTGATATGGTAATTTGAACGGATGCACATGTAGGCTAGATTTGCGGTTGAGTATGACTGGCTGACTATCTAGTACTGGTTAATTGAAAGTGAAGCAATCATTATGTTTCGATTAAGGTTTCCAAATAATATGAGATTGACAAGATTCCATCCTGCTAACAAACAATCAATATAACTTTCATTTCATCCTTTATTGATAATGTTTCTCCTCGCATATCCATATGGAAAACTAAAATACGATGATTACCACATTCAGTTTGGATTTTATAGATAAATTAAAGGTGTTAAATCATAGAAATTTACTAGCCTAATGTCCAACAATATTTTCTTTCCATGTAATGCATTGTAAACTGACTGATTGATGTGAAGGTTGTGCTTTATGTTTTATGGCAGTTCCCAATATAATTCTTGAAAAGATATATGATCAATTCTCAATGCTACAAACCTACTGAATTTTGTTATCGGATATGGCCTCCAAATGCCCTGGTACGGCCGAGAGTGGGTAGAGTCCGCTCTACCTCTCGAAATGATCTCACATGGCCACGCGTATGTAGCCTCTGTCAGGGAAGTCCTAATCACTGCCTTCTCGTTGCACTACTGTTGTTTACGAAATCGAGAGGACGAAAAGCCAATGTCCATCGCTTTAACCGGGTTGGTGGACACTGCGAGTCCACCTAGGGGAGTTGGAAAATTCTGATTCCAAACCAACGGTGAACATGGGCTCCACAATCCTGAGGGAACAAATGGCGTATGAATCAATCGTTGGTCACCGGATACCATGATACTGCATCTCCTCACGATGCTCCACTGCCTTGTGGATCAGACCTTCATGTCAAAGGCTCCGAGTGTGGCCCCCTAAGAAAACCACCTGCTTCAGTTTGGGCACCTGGGCAGCATCACAGCCCTCACACAAATCAAATGACATTCGTGTGGCACATATGTATTTGGTGCCTCTTTGTACCAATATTTATGTGTTCAAATAAGTAAATAAATAAGTGGTCACAGAATAAGCTGGGTTGTTGAAATTCTTTAGATTGAATTATTTTCTCCCTATATATAAAAAAATGTGTTACATTTATAAAATACCATCAATATCTAAAGTGGTTGTTAGAGGTAGCCGACAGAATACACTGCTATTTAAAACTCGTCAGCAAGATGTACACCTATAATCTCGAGGGAACTGATGGTCATTGGCGGACTTGAACTCTTGTTACTCAACTTCACAGTTAAGAACGTTACCAACATAGTGCACGTGATGTTGAGTCACTTAAGCTGGTGGCCACATTACAACTTGATTGATAGAGTTCGACAAGCACTAAGAATGACTCGAAATACAGTGGTTACTATTCAGTGATCAATCAATTGGTATCTGTCACTGATACTATGATTGTTTCGACTCCTTTGGTATTTTGTTAATTTTATATCCATGTACGGATATGACGTGAGGTAACTAGAACATCTGTTCCGTATCTCATATGGTTTATGACTGAGTAATAATTTAAATGGATTTATAATTGAGGTAATGCTTTCTAGACTAAAATTAGTTTGCCGAATTTTCTCTTGGAAATGTTTTATAACTGTAGATTAAGTTATAGTCCATAACCACTTTTCATTCCTTTGATGAGTAGTACATGTCTCAAACGACCCTATAGATATTATAAAAACATTGATGGGTTAGGGGATGAGAAAGCGGAAACAACTAAATACTATACAAAACAAACTTTGTAGACATATTTGAACCATTTACTTACAAACGGAGTAAAATGTATTTCAGCTTTTAATGATACAATCAATCAAAGAATGAAATTGAAGAGATGTGAATTATCTATGCACATTGAGATGGTGGGCAATATTTGAAGTTCAGGTGGATGGAGTTTCGTTCACCAAGCCAGATGGTTTAGTTGTGGAACTTTCATTGGTCATCCCAACAAATTATCATGTTGTACGGAAGAACAATATGGGCTCCACGACTAAACCATCCAGCTCAGAGAACGAAACTCCATCACAATTTATGTAAATATTTTGAAAACTGACTGAATATTATTAAGTTTATTAATTCTCAGTACACCGATTTCACTTACTTGTAAATTCTTAAACCACACATAATGTGGTCCATCTAAATAAATCGTTGGTTTTGTACATTGAATATTATTAGTCTGATTATTGTGAATTTGTTTATTAGTACAATATGCTAGTAATGCACGTTGTTCAGGACTTTGAGCACTGATAAGTGAATCTGGTAGATAAGAATTAGATGAAGGCATCTAAAAGATATCAGCAAAAAAAGAAGTTCAATAACCATAGCAAAAACAAGAAAGATAAAAGATGTCGGTTACAGTAGATGTTCGCAATTAGCATGTTAATGTATCCCGACATTAATCCATAAAAAATGAATGTTACAATATGAATAACACGCGCTCGATCCATGATAGTGGCACTACATCACACTTTGATCATCCCTACACATCAAAACGAGCAGTAAGATAAAAGAGAAGAGTTCCGTATAAAAACGTCTTTACTGTCTTTTGAAAAAACTTCATCTGTAGTCCTTTTAGGGTTACTGCCGGTCCCAAGTCCGGATAAAAGAGTAGGGTTGTGCATGGAGTCACCAACCCCATCCCGTAGAAAACAATCTGTCTATAAAAAGACGCTAACGAGAAAAAAATCGTTTAGGATTATTTATACTCTGCCCTGGAAGTTGAAGGATCTTCATTTCGAATAATTATTACGCCTAATGGTGAATCCCGAAATTCTTCAGAAATCACGGGGTTGATCCCCCTTCTGACAACCAGGGTAACAGTTAATATAGGCACATAGAATTAGTCCAGACAATGTAGGAGACTATGAGAACCAATCAAATAGCTGCGAGAATGAGGAAATACAACTTGGCTGTTCTTGGAATAAGTAAAACCCATTGAACCCAAGCTGGACAGAAAAGATCAGATTTGAGAGAGATGCTGTTGTGCACTGCTTATCAAGAATAAAATGTTCCGCACACATGAGGAAATGCTCTGATACTGTGCAAATAACTACGAAAAGCACCTATAAGATGGAAATTTTAATGGATTCAGGTTTAGCAAATCATCCTTCAAAACAAGGAAAGAGCTAATCATAACGAATGCTTATACAGGATTATGCAACCCCCAATGAGGACAATAAAGATGAGTTTCATGAGGGGCTCCAGTCGATCATAGAGAAGTGCCCAAAGAGGGACATGAACATCCTGGTGGGGGGGACCTAAATACCAAAGTCGGGATGGACAACATCGGGTATGAAGATATGATGGGACGACATGGAATGAGAAAAAGGAATGAAAATGATGACAGATTTGCAAATTTGTGTGCATTCCACAGAATGCTTATAGGTGGCCGTATATTCCCTCACAAATGCATACATAGAGCTACATGGGTCTCACCAGACTACGCTACAGAGAAACAAGTTGATCATATTTACACCACTACAAAAATCAGAAAATCCATGAAAAACGTGAGAACAAAGAGAGCAGCTAACACAGCTTCAGATCACCATCTGGTGGCTGCCAAGATGAAACTGAAGTAAAGAAGCCCCAAATAACTGAAGAAACAACACTACAAAAGTTCAACAGAGCCTTGCTTTGAGATACCTACAAACTCAACGAATTCAAAATAGCTCACAACAACAGGTTCCAAGCCTTATAGGATCTACTCATAGAAGAGGAAACTACTACGGAGAACAACCGGAAAAGGGTCAAAGAAGTACTAACTTCAACGTATCAAGAGGTATTGAGCTGCAAGAAACACCTTCATAAAGAATGAATCCATAGAAATCCTGGACAAGATTGAAGAAAGGAAGAACAAGAAGATACGAACTAACGACAGTCAAATAAGAACAGAGAAAGTAAGGGCACAAGCCAAATACACAGAAGCAAACAAGCAAGTGAAGAGCATTAGAGCTGACAAGAAGAAATACGTGAAAGACCTAAAAATGACAGCGGAAAAAGCTGCAACAGAAGGAAATATCAGACAACTATGCGGTGTAATAAGCCCCTAAATGCTCTGGTACAGCCGAGAGTGAGAAGAGTCACCTTTCCATCTCCGAATGCTCTGAAATGACCACGTACATACCACCACTGTCAGGGAAGTCCTAATCACTGCCATCTCATAGCATTACTGTTGTTTACGAAATTGAAAGGACGAAAAGCGAATGTCCAGCACTTTAATCAACTTAGTAGATATGGAGGATACACCTAAGGGAGTCGGAAAACCTTGATTCCAAACCAATGGTGCACATGAACTCCAGCATCCTAATGGAACGAATGGCGTATGAACCTATTGTTGGTCACCGGCTACCATGGAACTGCATCTTCTGACGTTGCTCCACTGCCTTGTGATTAGACCTTTAGGTCAAAGGATCCGAGTGTGACCCCGTAAGAGACCCACCTGCTTCTGTTTGGGCACCCGGGAAGGATCCGAGCCCTCACATAAATCATTCGATTTATGTGATGCACATCTATTTGGTGGTTCCTTGTACCGATGTTTATGTGTTTAAATAAATAAATAAATGGTATAATGAAGAAACTAGCAGGGAAATATGATGAACCAGAGCGACCAGTCAAGCACAAAGTAAGCAAACCAATCACTGAGATTCAAGAGCAGTGAAACAGGTGAGTAAAACATTTTGAAGAATTCTTCAATAGACCAGCATCACTGAACCCACTGGACATCGAAGCATCACACACAGATCTTTCTATAACTGGTATCACCAACGACCAAAGAAATCAGCATAGACATCAGTCAAATCAATAGTGGGAGGGCAGTAGGAGCAGACGATATAGCAGCTGAAGCACTTAAGTCAGATACAGACGTGACTGCAAAGATACTTCACATCATATTCAGAAGGATTTGGGAGGAAGAACAAGTACCGACAGACTGGAAAGAAGGATATCCCATCAAGATTATCAAAAAAAGGAGATCTGGGCAAGTGTGAGAACTACGCAGGCATCACACTATCATCGGTACCAGGAAAAGACCTCAATGGAGTGTTGCTAAACCTACAGTTGAAGAACATACGGAACTCAAAACAACTGTCAGCTAACATCAAAGTGAGGATCTTCAGTATAAACGACAAGACAGTCCTACTATACGGAGCTGAAACTTGGGGAATTACTACAACTATCATCAAAATAATACAAGTATTTCTAAAAAATTGTCTACGCAACATACTCAATGTCCGTTGACTGGATACCATCAGCTACAGCTTAGTGTGAGGGAACAAATCAGCTTGCAGCTAAGGAGGAAACTAGAATAAGACACCGGTAAATAGGAGATACACTGTGGAAATCACCAAACTGCGTCACGAAGCAAGCCCTAACTTAGAATCCTGAAGGCAAAAAGTAAAGAGGAAGACCGAAAGACACACCGTGCAAGGAATTGGAGACAGACATAACAAATGGAAACAACTGCAAAGGATATCCCAGGACAGAGTTGATTGGAAAATCCTGGTTAAAGGTCTATGCTTTTACGATGTCACAGACGTATGTAAGTCTCCTAAAAATGAAAAGGATGGTACAATTATTCTGTATACATAAAACGTGCACACGATTCTGAAAGGCATATAACAAGTTAAGATACTAGATTATTTAGTTACTAAGAGAACGGCAATGGTTATGATGAGAATACGGATTGTTTGTCTATGACAGATGTTTGTTGCGAAAAAGTATGAATTTCAATCGTAAGTTAAGGAAGCAGAAATTTCAAAATCTCTTAGTGAAATACTATTAAAAGCAAAAGGGTGAACTAATAAAATGATGCAAGAGTCTAAATGAATACAATAGATGGTTTGTAGGAATAAAAACTAATTACAGTTCGAATAACCTATTTTATTAATAAGCAGCATAAGAAGTGATGAGAGAACAAGTCATGTACAGAAAAATGAGTCCAGGGAATAGTTACCAATAGAAATGCAGTTCAACTTTTTTTGGAACACTAGATTTCTTAGAATGAGCAATAGGACGGTAGTATTAAGCAAAGAATCGACACATACAATAATAGACATCCAGCCAGCGACTAAGCCATCACATGTCAGATGAAATCCCATTCAGAAAATATTATTCTCTTGACTAACACATATGATAAAATATAGAGGGTAAAAAACATATAGATTATACATCGGATATATTTGACTGTCTATCTGGAACATCAACCAATCAAGGTTGGCTTCTACCTACACAACATCGGTGGTCATACTGAATGTGTGGATCTGTGATTCATTACTTGAAGTTGATGGAGTTTTGTTCTCTGAGCTGGATGGTTCGGTTGTGGAGCTTTCATCGTTCTTCTGAATCACATCATCAGCACAAGTTTCGGGTAGAAGTTTGTCAAGTGTCCTTGTTTTGCATCAGTAAGTGATGAAAATTACGTTCAAATTGAACTCAAACTTGTTTGAGTTTACACAAGACTTTGATTGATATAACTCAGAATCGGTCGCAAAGACGCAGATTCACTCACTTTTTATCTTCCTCTAGAGATTTTCAGTTTCAACATTCTTCCATGACTACTTTCTTATTCTGTTTTTCAAATCTTACTCTCAATGTTTAGTCTTCCTCATTAGTATTGCTACTACACCGTTTAGACCCCTTTGTTATTCATATCGGTAATTTAATCTGGTCGTGCTGATGTAATATGGGAACTTCGGGTCAACCCACAATTGTGTCAGACCCTACAATGATTATGACTGACTGACGTAGGTACCTTAATAAAACCGTATTAATCGATAGATGCTAATTATTGTTTAATTAACTAACCTGTACAACAGTGAACTCTGTCATTCGATCAGGGCATATTCTTTCAGCAATTAAACAGCCTAATTTAATGGGATCTAAATCGAGATCGTCAGCGATTCGGAGTGGTATTGTCCATGGATTACTATAATACAATTTAGGCATCCAATACATAAGACGACGATAAGTTTGCATAGCATGATTACGCCAACCGAAAACGTCGATAATCATTTGACCAACCTCATCATCCGGCAGGACGTCTAGTAAATTTCAACGTAATAATCAAAAAACTTTACATAGGGTATACAAAAAGCTACTATAATTTAACTGTATATACATTGCGTTATCAAAATTAGTCCAACCGAGACGGAAATTGGAATGATCGCAAATATAAATCTGAAAAACAACTATTTTATTCTCTCCGCTCTATTACTCATTCTACCAACACCTATAATCGACTTGTAAGAAATTAAATTACTTTGCTCCAACTTTTTGTCCCTTTTTATTCTCATTTTGTGTAAACTCCTGTTCTTCAACCCATTCAGTAACTCACTTATATCGAAAGCTCTGTTCTGTATAAACTATCTCAAGTCGCTGAATGTTCAAATAATTGAATGCTACTACAGAATAGGATCCAATATAGATCTTACTGTAGTTCTCTTTTACATTCATCATGAAGAATGAAAGGAACTCTCGGTTGAAAGGACTCTTTCTGGTCGTATTCTTAACTCAACTGTTTTTTTCACTACTTTTTTTGACTTTGCTCATTTATTTACTTTGATTTCACTCCTCCACCTTCCTCTATTGCTTCACAACTTCATTTCCTTATTTTTGTGGCTATACTCGTCAGACACTTATACGAACTGTAGAATCTGGCACATATATGCGTCGGTTTAAGTTGCCACACCATATCAGCAGACCAAGATGTCAGAGTAGTAACAGTATTAATGGTAATGGAAAAGATTATACACAGGAGATATGATTCAGTAAGAAAAGAAGTATATTAAATAAATATACTTTTGAGTAATAATTAGTAGTCTAGTAATTTGAAAGCCCACCATTAGTATGTCAGGCTAAATGCTGTTGACATTTATTATAACGGGTTGATTGATATTAGTAAAATGAGTGGAATGGTTGAGCTAATTCGCTTGTTAATAGAATCGATATTATTCCACACTGGGGAACGATCAAAAACTGAATTTTTATCTAATTGTAGGTTTCTTCAAACGTACCAAGTTAAGATCAATTATAAAAATTAATTTAAAATATTTAATTCTGGTGGGTGACACCTGTCAATCATCACTACCAAATGGAAACCTGCCACGGATATGTGTCAGTTTAAGTTTCATTTGCAACAACAGGACAAATAGATGTTAAATCAACTGCAATGGAAGTCAACGACACTGCAAGACACAGTCCAAAAGGAACGAATGAGATTGAAGAAGGAAAAAAAGTTTGAGAATGAATATAACTGTTTATTTTCATTCACAATGTATACATATGCAGTTTGGCAACTTGGACTATGTCTATTATTGGATGTCTTTAAGAATTATCAGACGCTACTGATCCTATTTGTCCAACAAAAATACCTACACTTAAGCCCAAAAATCGAAAATATCAATCAGATACTACATGAATTGATCTGTCTATTTAATATTATTAGCCATCTCTCTTTCTAAGTGTTATTAATTTTGGTTGCATACTATGGCACGGTAAACAGTTGCTGATCATATGAAATAATGAATTACACTTACTGTTAGCGGGACATAAATTGGATTAAAGCATGTTCTATGAACGATTGCGTTGGTGCACGTCGATTGGCTGATTCTTATCCACTTAGCACTAGTCGATACTTGGAGAAGATTCTAGAACCTTCTCATGTAAAAACTACAAATGTACTAATATATTTCTCATTGTGCTTCTTACTTCCATATACCCTTGTTATTCGGAATATAATTTCTTTCCTGTACAACCGTGTTCTGATTTGGGGACTTGTCGACTGAATTGGTGTCAAAGAATACTAAGCAATAAGAATAGCTGGGTCATAATAAAAGAAATTATAACACTTACAATCACTTATAACGGTTTGTGTTTGTTTATTCATTTTGATATTCAGTATTGAATTTGATCTCTGACAATATATGGGCTCCTTAAATGCATGGTTACATAATCAATGTACTTGAAAGTTGGCTATAGATACATCACTCATAAGCTGCGTTTATCTACATACCAATTATGATAATCACAAAGAGACTCAAACTCAATGCTTATTGCTTTAAATTCCAGATCTATAAATTATAAGACTAAAAGTCACAATAGAACACTTATACTGATATAAAAAGGATTCTTTATGGAATAAAGAGATTAAACTCACGATATCTTGACATTTGGTTTAATATATCAATCATAACTTGTTGTTGTTTTGGAAAATGACCAAAATCAGCTTGAAAGAAACGTTTTACAATCATTCGTCCAGTAGGAAATAAACGAATTACTGCTTTATAACAATCTAAATCATCAGTCACTTCATATTCAGGCATTTTAATTAATGCATTTTGAATAAATGAAGTGAATCCTTTACGACTTGGTCCTGATCGTTGAATAAACATTTCTAAAATATGCTGTAACAAGTGATAAAAGTACAAACCTTAGGTATTACATATTATAAGTCGTTTAATCAGTCATAGAAGAATTATAAATATAGTATACACGCATATTATCGGTGCATATCGTTACACATCACATCAACATAGTGAGAGATAAGAAAAAGACGAAATTAATGGGATGAGGAGTGAAGTAGAGAAAATGGTAACAATTGACTAGAAATACGTCAAGTTATCCTTTTCTTCCAAAGTATGTTGCTGATTGGGTGTAGAGGGAAAAATGACCAGACAGTAAGATAACGATATTATAAGTTTATGAAGTCAATGATCGTTGTTAGAATTGGTGTTAATTGGTGTTAACTTTTGTTACTTGATGTTTACGAGCTGCTAGAAATCTCACTTGTGGACAAGTGTTCGACTAGGAAAACGTCGATGTATCGGACAAAGATAATACAGAGGGAAACCACTGACTCCGCAGTAAGGCTACTAGACAATCAATAAATATACTGAAACAGACCAAATTTATCAGCTTGTTAGTTTATTATTATATTCTATTTATTTGAACATATAAACATTGGTACAAGGGGGCACTAAATATACATGCGCCACATAAATCTCTTTTGATTGGTGTGAGGGCTGTGATACTGCCCAGGTGCCCAAACTGAAGAAGGTGGTTTTCTTAGGGGGCCACACACCGAGCCTTTGACCTAAAGGTCTGATCCACAAGGCAGTGGAGAATCGTGAGGAGATGCAGTCCCATGGTAGCCGGTGACCAACGATTGATTCATATGCCATTTGTTCCCTCAGCATACTGGAGTCCATATACATCATTGGTTTGGAATCAGGGTTTTCCAACTCCCCTAGGTGGACTCACCGTGTCCACCAGCCCGGTTAAAGCTCCGGGCATTCGCTTTTCGTCCTCTCAATTTCGTAAACAACATTAATGCTACGAGAAGGCAGTGAGTAGGACTTCCCTGACAGAGGTTATATACGCGTGGCCATGTGAGATCATTTCGAGAGGTAGAGCGGACTCTACCCACTCTCGGCCGTACCAGGGCATTTGAGGGCCAACTTATTAGAGAAAATTATCAATAACTACAAGGTCAGGAATCAAGTTAAAGGAGAAAATAATCAAAATGAGTATGAGTATAATTGCTTTCCATGTTACTTCTCATCCGATTCTCCTTAATTCGTTGGTTTCCGCTAGTTACCCTGATATGAGGTAGGGTAACTAGGATAGATGCACACCCATGGGAATTGATTGCTACGCTGATAATAACTCACTCAATTAAAGTATAATGAAACTAACACTGAATGATCATACATAACAAGTGTATACCATTACGATAAAAGAAAATACATCCTGTGAGTATTGCTTACAAGAAATGTACGTTTCTTCCATTTTCTAATTTCTGTTCTAGTCATATTAGTATCAGATCCTTTCAAATGTAACAATTCCGATTTTTCAACGTTTTGGACTGCATCAATCCATTCACTGAAATTTCCGAAGGGAAACAAAATACAAAAAATTGAATGTAAATGTGAGTATTCTTTGAAATGCTATACATTTCACAAATAGTTATGTTAAAAAGCAAATAAATCAACACCGAACTAGTGTTTTGAGATATTAATTATTTATTTATTTGAACACAAGTATTAATACAAAGGGGCACCGAATACATATGCGCAATACAAGTCACTTGATTTAAGTGTGGGCAGTAGTACTGTGGTGTGGTCTACTTATATCTATATAAGTAGTATATGGTGTGGGTCAGGCATAGAATGTATTTTCGCAGAAGACCGATGAGGAAAGAACTGAAATGAAGCGCAATCGTTTGGAAAATGCATGAGCAATGGAATAAGAGAAGAAACAGTGAAGATTGAAACAATTGGTTGTTAATTTTCAAATTGACTGTTCATTGTATTGTTTTCAGAATTTACTGAGATAGTCTGTAATTTTGCTTAAATACATTCGATTGTCCCCAACCAGTGTTCTGTTCATTACAGTATTAGTCAGATTCCCAGACCAAAGCAGGTGGTTTTCTTACGAGGCCACACCTAAAGCCTTTAACCTAAAGGTCTAATCACAAGGCAGTGGAGCAACGTCAGGAGAAGCAGTTCCATGGTAGCCGGTGACCAACAATAGGTTCATACGCTATTCGTTTCATTAGGATCTTGGAGTTCATATGCACTGTTGGTTTGAAATCAGGGTTTTCCAACTCCCTTAGGTGCATCCTCCATATTTACTAAGTTGATTAAAGTGCCGGACATTCGCTTTTCGTCCTCTCAATTTCGTAAACAACAGTAATGCTACGAGACGGCAGTGAACAGGACTTCCCTGGTAGTGGCTGTTTACACAAGACAATGAATACAGTTGTAATAAAAGTCATGCTGTTATTGGCTGGTATTTTTCTGTCACTTGAATTTCTAAATTTGAGCAAGCTAAATGGTGATTGCAGTGCAACTGAACAAAGGATCTGAAGAATAATGTATTAACGTGGAAATTGTTACAATTAACTCAACTGTAAGTCTTCTTATTTTGATTGGTAGCAATTTTATTTATTATTTTATTTAAACACATAGATATTCGTACAAGGAAGCACCAGATAAATATGCGCCTCACAAATCTCATTTGATTTGTGTGAGGGCTGTCATACTGCCCAGGTGCCCAAACTGAAGAAGGTGGTTTTCTTAGGGGGCCACACACCGAGCCTTTGACCTAAAGGTCTGATCCACAAGGCAGTGGAGCATCGTGAGGAGATGCAGTCCCATGGTAGCCGGTGACCAACGATTGATTCATATGCCATTTGTTCCCTCAGCATACTGGAGTCCATATACATCATTGGTTTGGAATCAGGGTTTTCCAACTCCCCTAGGTGGACTCACCGTGTCCACCAGCCCGGTTAAAGCTCCGGGCATTCGCTTTTCGTCCTCTCAATTTCGTAAACAACATTAATGCTACGAGAAGGCAGTGAGTAGGACTTCCCTGACAGAGGCTATATACGCGTGGCCATGTGAGATCATTTCGAGAGGTAGAGCGGACTCTACCAACTCTCAGCCATACCAGGGCATTTGGGGTTAGCGAAATAAACTATTAATTTACAAGTCTTTGATATAAAAACAACAGATTGTCTCTTAACCGTAAAACAAAAGAAAACATAAACAAGAAGCGACACACTGAATTAAATTTAATGGGATTAGAGTGAGTAATATTGTTTATACTCCGAGTAGTGACGAAAATTAAGTGTATTTTGTTTGTTATGATCAATTTCGAAGCAGTTTACTTTAACATCTACAACTAAAGGGCTCTGGCTCGAGACTGGTAGATCCTGGGTTTAAATCTCGCAAGTGCAGGATCGTGGATGCGCGCCGCTGAGGAGACCCGTAGTAGGACCAAACGGCCGTCCAGTGCTTCCAGGTTTTCCATGATGGTCTAGCTTCAATTAACTCACGCTTTCAACTATGAAAATCTACAACTGAATTTATCATGGTAAGCAGAGATGGATAATGGCTAGCAGTGGAATCCAGGACGCGCGTTTCGTCCTATTTGGGACTCGTCAGCTGGATGTACCTGCATCTCAGAGTTGATGTTCACTCTGGGACTCGAACCCAGTACCCTCGCTTCAAACGCCAACGCGTTATGCACTCAGCCACTGAGTCCTGATAGCCACTTGCTTGTGCGATGGGGTGAAGTTTGAATTCACTTAGTATTGCTTGTTTGAATCTTCCCATCGATGTGTTAGGACCGCAACTGGTCAGTCTCTAATTTATCATGTCTCATGAACTTTTATCAGAAAGCCAACAACTTTTGATATAGGTCAGACGTCTAGCTTTAGCCAACTTGCGCCATTTATGGCGTAGGCGAGATATCCGTCTACCAACCAAAGGACGGGTTTACTGTGCAGCAGTTCGTTCCGTCCTACTTTATGGAAGTGAAACATGGCCGATAAGAGTAGAGGATATTCATAGGCTACTAGTGTTCGATCATAGGTGTCTTCGACGCATTGCTCGTATATCCTTGGACCACCGGGTAAGTAATGCAGTTGTTAGGAAACGGGTACTAGGTAAGGATGGCAAATCGATTGAGGAAGTAGTGAAACTTGATCAGTTGAGATGGCTGGGACATGTGTTGCGTATGCCCAACCGCCGACTGCCCCGACGTGCAATACTTTATGGTGTAGGAGCAGGTTGGAAGAAAGCTAGGGGCGGCCAGACCAAAACATGGCATAAATCCATGAAGTCACTGACAAGTGGACTGGGCCATGTTGGTAGGTGTAGACTACCTGGTTGGGATTCGCGAGATGATAGCAACCGATGGTTAGAGACCTTGAATGACATGGCTCAAAATCGTTTGCAATGGCGAAGGTGCATCCACTCTTTGTGTTCTACCAAATTCTAATCTGAATTCTTCATGTCTGTATCCTTTTTCTCTTTCCAAATTTATTTCATTGTATTATACTCCTTTAATAACATCTTCAAACCTTTATCTTCCACATTAATGCTTATACTCTTACTACTTCTACCAATATGGGATTTGAATGGACAACTGCATCTCTGTGCTAATGTGGTATGGCAACTCGAACTGATGTACGTACGTACGAAGTTCTACGTTGTAACTGGCTGACTGACTGATATAGGTCAGAGCCAAGTAAGGATATAAGGTTTTCACTAGATGTTTTAATATTTAGTCAACACAGATTTTTAGAAAAGCATGGAAAGATTTCTTTATGAACTCCCCACCTTAAACTTGTTTACTTAATAGCATCATAATACACAATAAATACTTTAAGCAGGATGAAACACAGGTCCACAAGTATCGTTTATCTCTAATGTTTATGTTTCATAGGTTCACTTTACAAGAGAGGATATTTTTGGACTGTACAGTTGATACTAAATATGTTGTTGAAAGTTTGACTTGTCATTTGTGCTACGACTGTTGGACTATTTAGAAATAGTGGTAAATGTACTGATTCCGCTATAATTACGTTAGAAAAATTTTGGCGACATTCGCATTAAGGATATTATGCACCATGATAGACAGGTGCCTATATCATTGAAGTGTACGGTAACTATACAAGAATAGGAGGACTCTATGCTCTCTCTCTCACCATATTGCCGTAAGGCATTGGGAATAGTACAGAATGTATCTAAGTAGATGTGTGCGGTAGTAGAGTAGTAGACAGTAACATATTTAGCAGCTTTATCATATTAGTCTAATCAATTTAAAGTCCAGTGAGCAACACTTCGGCATCAGTACCTATACTATACTTTTTTGAAACAGGAGCTTTGAGCTGAGCATTTTATACGGCTTTCTGCTGGACGATCTCTGTTTTCGTAGTATTATTCACCCCATATTCTATTCAGAGACTAGGTGACATGTCTCAGTATATTGGAGATAAATAAATTAATGGTTATCGTACAACATTCGCTTAAAGAGTTTGAAAACGTTTTACGTATGACTGTTTCTTAACTGTGAAGCTGGCTGAGGTTGTCATTCTTAAGAATAAACATTAAAATATGAAATATCACACTATTGGGTAAAGACTTGTTAGTTCATTAAGACTACGCGAATGAGGTTATAAAAATTACGAAACTTTGTAGGTTGAGACATCACTAAACACGTTTGTGTTTTTCATAGATAGTAAGATATATTTTGAGGGGAAAGAAATCTACCTCGGTTATATTTGAATGTGAATCGTCTCTCTTAGTATTATAGTCCTTATTGTAACCATATGGTTCACTTTTTTTTCCTTACAAGAATATTATTTCGTTTAGTGTGATTTCCCGTCATCCTAAACTTTTTTGCTTCTTAATAAAGTATAAAACAAATCATCATGAAATCGACGTCTTAGCAGTCAGAAAATTTAGTTAATCGTTCAAGAAACAAGATCAGACTTCTGGCAATCTATGATCAACGAAAAATTAATCTGTTACAATAAAATAAGAAAATTTGAAGGTGGACGCAACTTACCTGTCATTTGGTACACTCTGAGAGTCTTTAGACTGACTAGAGACAGCTTCATCAAGCTTTGATTTGATAAAAGAAAAAAATGAGGCAGGACGTGAAACAACTGGCATTATTAGTTTGGTTGTGCCGAATCGATTCTCACAATCTGACATTCGACGTAAAACTGTGAATAGTCGCAATCTACGTATGAGTTCAATACGAGCCATTCTATTTCAGTTCAAAGGCTCAAATGACCTAGAAACAAACAATGATATAAAAATTAACGAGAATTATGCTCAACCAACAGAAAAAAATCTGAGTTTATTTTTACTTAACACTGAGGATACAGTATTTTAATCTCTCCTGAAAATTTTGTTTCAATAAATAAGTCCTTTCAGGATAATTAGATACTTTTAGCTTTAAGATATTTGTAAACAGAAATCACCGAGTACAGTTAGTAACTCAGCTTATTTGCTGTCCATCTCAGCAGTATACTAGGAACGCCGAAATATAGTGACAAACACTACTCCGTCATTTCTGCTACAGTGCCGATAACTTCATCCTACATGGAGTACAAAATGACTTTTACAAAAAAACTTTATGACATCAAGGAAACTAAGCACTCTAACAAAATAGTAGTAGATCATTTTAACGCTCACATCCGTAAGCTAAATCGATTTGAAAAGTACTTCATTGTGCCCGAGGGCATCACAGGAAAACACAGCAGATAACAGTAACCGTCTGCTCTAACTACGCTCAAACAACTACTTAGTCCTAGCAACTACAAACTTTGAGCATGACAAGAGATAGTGCCTGAACTGGTAACTTCCAACACTAACACAACGGTGGACACAGATAGGTCATATCACTGTCACCCATCGTTTGGGAGGCTTGACAGAAGACTGACATTTCTTTTCAACTACAAGCTTGGACTCTGATCAGCTAAGGTGACTGGAATACTAGTAAGAGTTTAGGAGTCGGATGTACTCCTATCTGACTGATCTCGATCGATGATAGAAATCTCTTTGTGATGACCACAAACGAGACTAAGTGTTTGAAATATTCGTATCTATAATCACCTGACGCTTAACTAGAGCTCTTTAGAAGCGTGCATGTATGGACTGAATGTTCACTTTCCGTCGGGTTTTGGAACACAGGCACACTTACCAGCGAACAATTATATTTGTATTTCTTGACACCTAGGACATTTGACATTGTCTACTGAGAGGTTTTGTGAGAATTTATCGCTGAAAGGTGTACCAAAGAAGTACATTCACCTTGTGAAGGTTCTCTACCCAGACACTGCTGGTCGAGTAAGAGCTTATGGCGAAGTTCGCCAGAGTTGTCTACCTCAAGTGGATTGCGTCAAGGTTTTCCACTGTCAACTAGAAATATTTCCTTCATTTAAATTTCCAGGGGTCGATCCCCTACTAGGAAGCCCACTTACTGACTTGGAATATGAAGATAAAATAGATCTATCTAGTAAAAACGCTGACAAAATGCAGTCTATGTCGCTTCGAGCAACAATACAAATACGTTTGAAGTGCGTTTCTCCGCATAACGCCGAGCTGCTTGCTTGGCCATAGCGTACTCGCTATGCACTGATTTCTTAATCTGTCTTATATAAGACTCGAATGGGAAGGTGGACAACGAATCTAAAGCTCCATGTGGACGAACGTCATCAGGAAGGTGTTTCAACAAATTCACATTATAAACTAAGTTTTTCGGTTCATAACACCATGATTATTCCTTAAGAAAACTAAGTAAATCATTTCTGACCGATGTAGTCTTGGATCTGCTAACAAATACGTCGCTGGTACTAAACGCTTGAAACTCAGGTACAAGGGTTTTGGTAAACAATGTTGAGGAATTATGGGGCCTAAATACAGAAGGAATGGTCGACACTCTATCGCTTTCCATAATGAGACAAAGTTTAATGTCCGACATTTAGGCCGAAAGAAGTACTTGCTACACAACTTGATATTAACTTATTTATATCCCAAATTACATACTTGTTCATGTTTCTTGGTCTTTTGTGAGAAAAACTTATCAATAGATTGATTAGTTTCTTTTTCACACGTAAATAAACCATGTGCATTGGATATAAAGGGAAAGCTGAAACCATACTAATTACAAGTGCTTCGAAATTAAAATGACCTTGATGGTGAGTGGATTAGTTAGCCCCCAAATGCCGTGGTATGGCTGAGAGTGGAAAGAGTTTGCTCAACCTCTCGAAATACTCTCATATGGCTACGCGTATATAACATTTGCCAGGGAAGTCCTAATCACTGCCTTCTCGTGGCAGGGGTGTTGTTCACGAAATTGAGAGGACGAAAAGCGAATATCCAGCGCTTTAACCGGGTTGGTGGACACGGAGAGTCCAACTAGGGGAGTTGGAATAGCCTGATTCCAAACTAATGGTGCACATGGGCTCCAGTATCCTGAAGGAACGAATGGTGTATGAAACTATTGTTGGTCACCGGCTACCATGGAACTGCATCTCCTGACGTTGCTCCACTGCCTTGTGATTAGACCTTTAGGTTAAAGGCTTTAGGTGTGGCCTCGTAAGAAAACCACCTGCTTTGGTCTGGGAATCCGACTAGTACTACTGCCCACTCTTAAATTAAGTGACTTGTATCGCGCATATGTATTCGGTGCCCCTTTGTATCAGTATTTGTGTTTAAATAAATAAATAATAAATGAATGGATTGACTCTGCTGACGAAAACTATTAGTTCAAAATGTATAGTCACCATTTGGGTCGGCGCCTCGACTGAAAGATGACATCTTAATTCTTGCTGATGGTATTACTTTAAACCACTTCCTTACCTTTTATGTACTGCTCAGCCGACCAACAAGCAGTACGTAATTATAGACGCACAATGCAGGAGGCAGGTTCTAACTGCAGCTAAATATTGGATTGTGGGTAAAACACTTTATCTCCATCCTACGGACCTTGTTGATATGTACCTGCAAAACAGTGCCCAACCAGATGAAAATTGATCAATCCTAAAGTGCAAGGTCATTTGCAACTGCGGTGAGTTACGAAAATAGAAACGACCATTTCCTATAAACTGTTTTCAAACTAAAAATAGTTGTTGGTTTCGTTCAAGAAACTGGCTGTTTACCGTGTCAGGAGTTCTACGAACAAAAACCTCGCCACTAAAAGAAGAGAAGCCGAAAAGGTCAGTACAGTAGTCTTATTAATATTTCGTGGAGGTGCATTGGAACAGAAGGAAGCGTTCCTGAACAAACCCGTTGTCATGGATGTGGCCAAGGTGCAGGATGGAAGCAGCCACATTCAATATCCTAAAATTCGGTTGCTGGATACCGTTGTCTCACTAATTGCCAAGTAGGTGTTTTCTTTAGAAATGTTAATAAACTAGTTTGACACAGTTGGATGAGTCGCCCTCAACTTCCAAGTCCGGGCGTGTGAGCAGTGCGTTAGCGGCCGAGTAAGTCACGTATCCCATTGAAGTAAATGCTTAAGATTTGATAGACTGCATGTTGTACTGCAGACCATATTGTCTGCTGTTTCAGGTTTGAATGCTGACACTAGGCAGCCAATGTCGAAGTCTCGCGGGTATGAACGTTTAAGGAAATTTGATTTCAGAATATCCAGTTACCTTTGTCGTCTGAAGAACTGACAACGTTGGTGGCTTGTCTTCAGTAAGAAGACATCAGGAACAAACTTGTAGACGAACAAAATTTATTGGATTATTATTTTTTTGTTTCAGATGGCCGTACTAACACGGTTAACGGACAGTCCTAAAACGCTCGAACGCTGTATTTCGTCATACATCGTGACATCTGAAGTTGCCAACCACTTCACACTACTTGGCACTTCATCGAAAAGAGCACTTTAGAAGTGCAGCTTTTACGGCTGCATACAAATTAAGAATTTTTTTCTAACATTTAGGTGCGTTAACATTTCGATTCTTGTCTTCATCCTTTAACCAAAACAACTTGCTTAAGTTTATGACATCGCAACGCAAGGGTATTTCCACGAAATGAAAGACAAAATACAACACGTACTATTCACTACAGTTCTACAGGCGCAGTGTTAGGTATTGACGAACATAACCATAAGTACCACTCCACGAACAGATATTTAACAAACTGTGGCAGTTAGATATCATTGTAATTTTTTGGTTTATTGAATTTCAGAATTCACAGAAAGATCTTTTTGTTTCGGAATGGTAAAACTGCAGTTTAAGAAAAGCGTTACTATTGAAATGTTTTTCATGTTTGACCCAATTCTTAAGAAAGCCTTTTCTTACCATGCGCTGAATTTCCGACATACATGTGAAACTCTTTATGTATGTTGTGAAAGCCTGTCTGATTTTACATGCACTTATCATTTAGGACACATCCTTAATTAATAACCCATAACCCGCAATCCCTTTTGCAGATCTTTGTAAATTACACTAGGACTTGGCACTTAAGACGAAAATACACAACAAACGTCGCTCGAGCATATGTATATTATTAACATTGTTGTACAGTATGACGCTTTTCTTCTCAACAAGTCTTTAAACATGTACCATTTCGCGACGTAGTTGAATGCAGTCGTGTGGTTTGTTATGGAAATGAAAGCGAACATATAAGACATTTTGGGTTAAACGGAGGGTGGACAATAAAGAGTGTATTAAAAAATTGGAGAGCAGTTGGGCGAAAAGTGAACAATTCGGCGTGTATTTGGACGAAAAATAGACAATGGAACATAGAGCAACAAAAAGGAGTAAATTTCGCACCATTTCCCCATGACAGGCGAAAAAGCAGGCATTTTGTCGTGTTTCCCCATTATTCCCCTTTAATTTTTTTTACGAAATGTCCACTTTATTTCCACCTTACTCTCCTTTATTTCCTCTTCATTGGTTGTTTAAGAACACAGTCTTCCTACTCTGGGTAAACTTCGGGATTTTCCCCAAAGTCGTAAGAAATTTGGTAGTTTAAACTACCAAGGTGTTATAAGATTATAAAGAAATATTGAGGTTATCCTTGGATTTCTCCTAACCGTTGTAGATTTTCCCCAAACCTGGAGAAATAGAGGTTTAGTGTCATTTCCTCAAAGTTTTCCATAGCGGCTTCCTAAGAATTCACTTAAAACGGATGAAATTTCACCAGAATAAGGAGATTGAGAAGTATCAACTATGGTATCGTTTATACACAAACGACAGTAAGAGGAAATAACTATGTGTCTCTTATGTAAAACAAACCAGGATCAAAACACTTGATTGAACATAAGTGTTATATAACACACAATACAATACAGTTATCCGGACATGAAGTCAGACGATCAAACTTGCCTGATATTTCGACCCAGACGACCTTGAGTTAAATGAGCGAATGTTTGTGGACGGAATAAAAGCAAATTTCGTTTATCGTACTTCTGTATCTGTTGTCAGTAGATCACCGATCCCTCTAGGCAAGAATCTAGGTATATTTACTGACGAAAAAAGAAATATCAGTAAATTATTGTGAAATATCATCCTTAGTGCTTAAGATAATGTCAAGTTTCTTCTTGCAAGACTGCTGGGGATTCGTTTACACTACCTTAACAGGAAGAGAGTTTCGGGATTTGACCAATCACAAAGAGTAAAAGGTGTGATCACGGTCTTATTTTCTTTGCTTAGCTTTTAAATTTGTGTAAATATTTTAATGGGTGATAAGAAGTGTTTAAGTTGCTGTAAGTCATGAGGCCACATCTTAAGCACCTACACTCTAATGGAAAAGAATTTACCAATTTGGCTCGTTCTTTTCAAACATGTCAGTGTATTCTTGCCAAACAAGAACATGTCAATTCGGTTTCTGCAGCTCAAAGGGAAATTTCTAACTCATCCAGTGTTTTACTTCGATCGATTATGATCAACACCCAGTCAGTATTCGGCGATACTCTATAGATGTCACATAGTTTTCAAGCTTGTAATCTTATCCGATAGTGTTTACCTTTACCAAAATTACTACTCATGACTCGTTGAAATTGTCCTCTATATGAGGATCAGAGTTTGTCAGTGAATAGAGGATAATAAAATGAAGCAAAAATATTTTATAAAATGCTGCGAGCGGTCTGCCCAACACCATATTGATGAAGTACGATCTTCTCATGCTCTGTCCAGCTACCAGGTACTCACCTGTATTTTGAGTCTACCCCAAGTCAAAAATTAAAAAATATACTTCGAAGAAACATTTATCACTCTTTAAAGCGTGTTCCCCTACTGCCTGGAAAACTGCACATGTCATTCCCAAAATTAAGACAGTACCAGGAGCATATGTTGCAAAGTACCGGCCCACAAACTTAATCTCGTTGGTATCTAGAGTGATGAAAAATAGTTAAGGCAGTGGTAGTCCAACGTCTACTTATTAATCATCTCATTTCGACCTTCCAGAATGGGTTTCCTAGGTCCAGATCATGCGATACATACCTAGTAGACCACATGAATGACATAACTCTGAAATGAAACAACGGACTCCTATCAGTCCTATTCTTAGACTTTAGGAAAGCTTTCTATAAGGTCGCACATAAAAGGCTTCTCGTCAAACTAAAGTCCTTAGGAATCAACAACCCACTATATTCATGGTTTGCTTCATTCTTAACAGAAAGTAAACAAATGATAAAGTACAACGACTCTCATCACGTAGACCAATAACTAGTGGAGCAATCCAGGGGAGTGTATTAGGTCCACTCTTGTTTCTTATGTATTATTATTATTCACAGACATCTTATGGGTACATAAGTGTTGTGAAGAAACCATTTCGGGTTTCTTCAAAAATGCAATAATACACAACTGTCAATAATGTTAGCATTACATTTGCCATGTTTGAGAAAGGAAAGAAAAGGAAGAAATAAAATATAAATAATAGAATGGTAATAACAAATCGGGTTCTGTGTAATTGGCAAAAACTTTGAATTGATTTTGGAGAAGGAAAGGAATAAACTAAGGAAATAAAAATATTATTATTATTAGCTTTATTCGATATTATATTTTTGGTACAATATAGAATTCTCAGCACAAAGTACTTCAACAAGTTTCCGTTTCTTACTTCTTCGTCCTTCCTGACAATAAATATTGAGTGATCGCCAGTTAGAAGTTAGCAGCCAATTCAATCGACATCTGGATAATGTACATTTTTTCGATGCATATTACCAGCAACCACGATATCTCTGATTAGGCCTTCTGTAACCTTCACAGCGAAAGGTCTTACACTTTTCAGAAACGCACCTGAATAGGTTGTGCGATTAATAGGCATAATGATGTATTAAAGCAAACGAAATTAAATAACTTGTTGAAATATCTAGATGACAGGAACAGGTAGCCCAGATGTTCAAACAGGCCGCCGGTTTACAGGAGACGCGAAATACATATATAGCTTATGTTAGTTATGTCCATAACTAACCAATCAAATTGTTGCTTAAGCTCCCACCACGTCAAATTTTATTCATTTTATTAAGACACGCAATACTGGTCGGTATGTTTGTGCGTTTCACTTAATGACTGTAATTCTTTAATTATTTTACTAATTTAATTGTTTTTATGTTTAGAAACAGACAAAGTTTAAAGCCAAGTTGTCCTTGTTCTGACTATAGCTTTCATATAGACTCTGGGATCGCCAGTATCGCGTTTACAGTTTAATAGTATATCTGTAGGACAAAATAAATCCTACAGCTCAATAAGCGTGTTTATGAACACAGAACCAGAATAAGCAACTATATATCGAAAAATGAGTAATAAAAATAAAATAAAACAGAATAAATTGATAAGTAAACAACTTATTGTTGCGGTAAGATATGATGTTAGAATAAGTGTTTGTGTGTGCAGTCATAGTTTGAGGTGACGCTATGAAAGTATATAAACCATGTATGTAACACCATAAAATTCAAGAGACCATACTTATTCACTGACGATAAAATAATACACAGCCTGAGGCTCTAAGTGAAAGTGCACCCCTGATTCAAGATGATCTCAATAACCTAGCTATCTGCAGCGAAAAATGGCAAGTACCATTTAACCTCAACAAGTGTGGGCTCATGCATTTTGGAAATCATCCCTATGAACTACAATGTTACTTAAATAAAAGTAGAGTTCAAACACTGATATCAGTGCATGATCCAGGTATTAATTACACAGGAAGCCCAAAATTTGGAGAGCATGTCTCCTTTATTATTTTTATATCTAGACGGCCTATAGGTTTCATAATGAAAATTTTCTTCGCAAAAGAGGTTAAAATTACTCTATACGGAATATGTATACGACCCTCCCCTGAATATTGCTATTTCATCTCAAACACGAATACCATTGACAAGATCAGAGTAGATGTACAAAGACGCTTCACACGCCGACTGCTGGGATGTGACTCTACTCTCAACTACACAGATAGATGTAATCACGTCTCTTTGGAACTTTTATGGTGCCGTCGACTAAGCAACAATCTAATATTTCTCTACTGAGCAACATATGGACTCACATTTTTAACCCCCTGCCCAACCATTATCCATGAACCAGTCTACGGACTGAGAAACAACGCATATACACTGCTTACAGTAAAACACCGAAAACCAATGCGTCGTAAGTTTTTTACAGTGTGGTATATTTTATTATGAAGTAGGTTGCCAATACCCATCCGTAACTGTGACCCCATCACCAAGTTCAAAAGGCTAATAAGCTTGAGGTTGGAGTCTCTTTCGTTTGCAGTTGGATTGCGATTCGGACTACCGTGCTCTTAGTTTACTGCCGGACCATCTTATGAGTAGACTGCATGGCTGACTCACTGGCTGATGTTTTTGCAAGACTTAAATTGCTCGGCGTTTCTGTCGTTGACAATTAATCACTTTCAACTCTATTGATAGTGGTTCAGCCGCCTATATCAGATCTTTGGGGGCCATAATTGTATTTGGAGAGTCTATGGCGGGAAGCACAAGTTTACCGACAGAATCTAACACTGTCGATATTATGGTGATGCTCAGTTTCAGCATATTGTCACTAGTGTTTATTCATGTTCCATCAATAGTATTGTCGAATACTCTCGTCATTACCTCAAAGCCCCCTTTTATTTGTTTATCCATTTTCGTACTGTTGTTTTTCTACGTTTTTGACAATTATTTCCCAAAACCTGACAGGAGAACAATTATATTGCTCAGCGAATCATTAGTATCATATTTTTCATGCGTTAAACGCACACTTGCGATCTTATTTGCTATGTTTGTTGCAAACAGATATTGTTAGGTTACTTTAGGCTTCTCAAAACCAAACTTTGTGATTAGCATTAATATTATTCTCCAACAGCTTGTCGGTACATATGTGTTGACAAGAAACTATTTTGGGTTTCCTTATAAATGTAATTGTTCACAAGTTTCAGCAATATGAGCATGAAGTTAGCCATATTCAAACAAATTCTACAAAACTTAGGAGAATACTAAGTCGACTTTGATGAAAAAATGAGGGAAAGAAGCGTAAAATATGTAATTAGTTTAATGGGCGTGTTTGTGAGAACAGAATATGAATAAACTGTAATATATATATTTCAAAATAAATCAGAAAAAAGGAACTAGTGATTAGAAAGTAAATCTTAAATAGTAGATCGAGAGTTAGTTTAGTAGCAGTCTATAATGATGAAATGAAAACTCCAATTGGCTGCAACTAATAATAATTAAATATCAATCTGTACGGGTCATATATACGTAGCGAGTATGAAATGAGTCCGAAAAGTCAACGTTCTTAACTGTAGTACAAGATATTGTGTCAAAAATTATAAGGTTTGGTTGCCTAGGGATAAAATTTATATGTGAGGAAAGGGGAGTAAGGGACAAAAAAGGAAAGAATATCCAATGCGCCAGATGATCAACCATGATAACTGTATCAACAATAATAAATAAATAGATACAACTACAAGCTGATATCGCATATTTACATGAAAAAGGAATAAAATGAAACACAATCAACAAACAAGGATTTCATATTGTCTTACAGTCAGTTAGGTAGCCATCGCATATTGTTTTTCTAAGCCAGAGTTCAATGGTGTAGTGTTTGGAGAACTGTCAATACCTAATACGATTCTATCACCACTCAAAATATTCATGAAATAGGGTCGCGTTTGATTGCAAATACTAAGTCAAATATATTATTCTTCCTAGTTGGCTTTCGGACTTATTGGATCCATCTGCGGGGTCATATTTTTCAGCCAACTTGTTATATCGCCCTAATGCCGAAGTTGAATTTCATGCAATTCTCGGCAATCTGAAATTAAATCGGACGATTTCAAACTTATGCAGTTGATGTGAAACGGTGAAAAATTTGTTTAATAACAATTTATCAAAGTTGATATCCACCTGAGGCCATCTATAT